AGGACTAATTCTGTGCCCTTTTTGTAACCAATCTTAAAGGCATAATGACTAAGTTTGACTAACAGTTTCTGTAATCTGTTGGTACAAGGTGGACGTTTAGAGTTACAAAGGTGGACAATGGCAGCGTGATCAACATAAGCATCAAATTCAACTCCTCTAAGTAGATATTGGAAATTAGAGATATTGATCAGAAGACCAAATAATTCTAATTCTGTGACTGAATAGCGCTCGCATGCCTTAGGAAGTCGTTTTGAATAATATCCAAGAATTCTCTCTTCACCATCAATAATTTGGGTAAGATATGATCCTGTAGCTGTTCTTGAGGTGTCACTATAAAGGGTAATCCTACCACTATCATTAGGCATGTACAGAATAGGTGGTTGTACAAGTAGTGACTTAACCTTAACAAATGCTTCTTCATGTGCTGCAGACCATTTAAATGATGATTTCTTGCTGGAAATTTTATGCAAGGGTTGTAGAACTGACTGTAAGTATGGGAGAAAATTGGAAACATAGTTAACAGCACCTATGAATTTTCTTACATCTTTACTTGACGTAGGTCTTGGGATATTTTGGATTGAGCGGCATCTATCAGACAAAGGCTGCAGTGTGACTAAACCTTGTTTATCAATCGCAATCTTATGACCCATATAGACCACTTCATGACAGAAAAATGAACATTTTCTTGGTGTAACTTTGAGTCCATTTTGAATTAAGGCACTGAAAATTAACTGTAAATGCTTCTTGTGAGCTTCGTTGTCTTTACTGAATAAGATAATATCGTCATGATGGGCTATACAAAATGAATAACTACCAGGAACTGTTGATAATATTTCATCAATTTTAGATTGAAAAACTGCTGGTGAGACACTCAAGCCTTGTGTTAACCGTTTAAAGTAAAAGTGTTTGCCTCCAGAATATGATGAAATACCCGTATATTGTTGGGCTCTAGGTGATAATGGAAGTGAAAAGAATGCTGACTTCAGATCTAAGCAACTTATAACATTAGGTTTAGCATGACCAATCCTCTTTAAGGTGTCAGATAATAGGGGAAATGGATGGTTAAGACGTTTGATTTTAGAATTAAGATACCTGAAATCAACAACAACACGTTTTTCTTTAGTACCTTTCTTAGGTAGAATGAGAACTGGTGATGTATACGACTGGTGACCAACAGCTAAAATTCCTAGTTTGACAAGCTTTTCTAATTCCTGATCCACAATCTTTTTCTCAACTTCTGTTTTTGGATAAGGGCGAATGTAGAAAGGGCGATTGTCGTTTACTTCTATATCAACTTGTATGTCAGGGCATTTTCCAATTTCACCATGAAGACTGAAAGCTTCCCGATTTTGACACAACATATCATAGAATTTGTCTTTTTGAGAAAGATCAAGCACACTTTTGGACAAATCAATTTGTGACTTGAAAACAGACTTAATATTACTTGATGATGTAACATTATTTTGATCATACTCAGAAGTGAAGTTAATATTATCATAACTTACAATATCTTGAAGGGATATAAATGAAATTGGTCGAGTAGGTCTGATATGCAAAGTTTTAGCACTTGTGTTATGAATTGGTATAATGGCTTTATTTCTTTCCAGCTTAACCAAAATTGTTGAAGGACACATATCAGAAATATGACTGCCACAATACATGACAACTTCACGATTCCTAAACAAAGGAGGAACTTTACCATGAACAGTGATGTAACGACAATGTTTAGGTCTGACATATACACTATGAGCGGTTATAAATGGAATGGTTGTAGCTTTACAATGAAATACATTGTCACGAAAACTAAGACTTCCATTCAAATCAGCTAAAGTTTCTTGACCAATGATGATATCAATTCCGATTAAATCGGCAGCAATAAAAGCTTGAATGGTAAACTTTACATTTTGAATAAGCACATCAAACTTAATAGAATATTTACACAATAGTAGATTGCCATTACCAAGTCTAAAGCTAAGCGGATTTGACAACAAATGAACAGGCAAACCACTTAAATAGGGTGAAGATTGAATAAGTAAAGACGAAATGATCGACCTTGATGCACCACTATCAATTAATAATAAAGCTGAATGACCATCTAAAAATTCTCCTTTGCAATAATTTCGTTTTGAAAGTTGAATAGAAACAGAACTAGAATGATTCTGTTTACCTGAAGTAGAATGAATAGGTTTGGTTTGATTAGATTTAGGGAATTCATTCTGAGCAGTAGAATAAATTCCCTCTATTGAAAATCCTGTTGTTGTCTTTTAGCAGAAAGGTGTTTCTGACGCAGAAAACATGATCTCCATGTATGATTTGGTTTCAAGCAGTAGTCACAAAATATAGGTCTATCAGCTGACTGGCTAGAATTATTGACATATTTATAATGCTTATTTGTGTACGAGGAATATCGATGTTGACTAGGTGAACGAGAATAATCACGTCTTGATCTATACTGACTAGGTGAACGAGAATAATCATGTCTTGATCGAACTCCAGGGTTGTTTGTATGCGATTTGGGACTAGGTGAATAAGGGCGTCGTCTGGGTGATAGTGATTGCTCACGAGCATAAGACGAATGACTATAATTTGGATGTTTGGATCGGTGTCTGACATGATCATCTGATGCTACATGCAACTTAAGTTCATCTAATTCTTTTCGTAATGAAGAAAGATCATCTGTGTCAGATGTATAGAAGGATACCTCCTTACTAGGATTTACGGTTCCAGAAGTTTTGTCAGGGTTATTAATATCAAAGAAACACTGAACTTTTGTTGTGATGTCATTCAAAGTAGTTGTGTCATTTGTTGACATGGCAACGACTTGTTGACAGTTTGTAGGGAGGATTGAAACAAATTTATGTTTGAGTTGGGTGCGACCTACTCCAAGTTGAGTAGCTAATTTCTCCAAGCCTTCTACATTTTCCGCAGGAGTGATAGAAGCGTTGTAAGTGAATGAGGAATAGGCTTGGTGTAAACCAAATAAAGACTTATTTTCGGAGAATCTATTAATAAACTGCGTGCGTAAATCTTCACGACTTCGAAATATTTTCTCCTCTATCCACAATCTCGCGGTTCCTTTTAAAGACTGTTTGAAAAGATTTATCATCTTACTGATAGCAAGAACTGTCTGAGGATTCATCTCCTCATCAGAGTACTCAAGGTAATCTTCGAAAGATAAAAAATGGGCAGTGGCCAGATCCCTATTTAATACGGACCCATCAAATCTATCAAATGACAGAGGTCTCTTGCGTTCAACAACCTCGTTCCGACGGTTAGCCATAATTGTAATTGTATACAAAATAATCAAAATAGTTAAAAGATGTTTACAATTTTGTCCAAACATTGAATATGATTGACCTTGATTAATTCGTTCACTATATGAGCAACTATTATCAAAATAATTGTGTAAGGCAAATCAGGATGACTACAAGTTTAACCAATAATGAAAGAAATAATGCATCTTGTAAACATGGAAAACATCAATTAGCAAAACAAATTATCTAAATATTTAAGATCATGAAACAATAATAACATATTCACACAACCATTCAGCATAATTCACACAAATATAGTATCAGAAAACGTTTATATTATAAATTGACTGGAATATTGCCAAATTAATTTGAAAGTTGTAAATTTGAATTTACTTATAAGCCAAAATTAAAATTTCTAAAGCCTTCTTTCACAATTCTGTTTTAAGAAAAAAAATATTGTCTCTTTTACAAATTTTACTAGGGATAAAAGTCATTGATTTATACATCAGGCTTCAGTAAAGGTTCACAAGACAGCAAACTTGAGTTGAAATAATGTCACTTGTAGGCTACACAACACAGTCACAAGACAGCAAACTTGATTCCAAGATTGTCACTGTACAACACTGTAGTCTATACTTCATTAATTATGTCACTATAAATGAATTAGATCTAGGCTAGTAGTAGTTAAGAGTTCTAGGCATCCACACTTTAACATGGGAAAATTGGCACTCATGTCAAAACAGATTTTCCATTAGGCCTTTATAACACAGTGTAGGCCTACATGTTTATGGATTTCTTCATTTGGATTATTTGAAATGTCTCTGGATCTGTACATAAGCAATTTAGGCTAGATTTTAATTTCACACAAATTAATAATAGAGTTTATAATTAGGCCTCACTATAGTATTTCAAGTCTGGTGAATTTGTAGTCCTCAGAAAATAAAGGTTCCCAAATATCTGCTGAACGACTAATTTCACACAAATGGAGTTTAATCAGGCCTCACTAGGTCTACTTCTGATGAAAGTTTACTCCTCAGAATAAAGTAGATTCCCAAAATCTGTTGAATAATGGGAGAATGTGCTCCACAATTATGAGTCCAAATCTCAAAACATGTGCTCCTCACATCACAAGTCAATTCTTGGTAACAATTCAAAAATATCACTTGAAAACTAGTTCTTCATATTCTACATACTAGAAATGGGAGTTTGGCATCTCCACCATGTGGTATTGGGGTGTATAGGCCACAAGATGGCCTGGATTGTTTATGACAATCAGAAGAGCTAATTAAAAACAGCCATCTTCCATTTCACTCCATCCCAGAATTCCATCTAGGATCAAAGCCTTTTATTAATCAAGGGAAGTAACTCTATTAACACAAAGAACTCAAGAAGGCTTCAGACCACTATTCCTTAATAATATGAATAAGTTGGTTTAGTAAAGGGAGTATATGACATTATTTCCCTTAATTTTAGATTATTTTTTGCCCGGGGGAAATATTTCTCACTATATTTAGGCTTATAACTTGGCGAGTATTTGACTGATTAGCTTTCCTATCTGCCTGGCAGACCTAGTTTTATATTTGTTCTAATAAACATTACGAAGTTGTCTACAATTGTAGAGTGATAATTTGATATTTATTGACATGATTTGAAATTCATTTACGTAATTTGATATTGATTCAAATAAGATAATGTTGATTCACGTAAAGTTTAATATTGATTCACATTATTTCAAATTTTTTTTAGGATCTTGTAAATCTTATATGTGATATTAAATCTATGGAAGAAGCTGTTATTGAGATGAAATATGATGCTAAGAAGGCTCCTTTAGGTAAAATGAATTGCAAGATTTGATATAGTTATATATAATGACAGGGTTCAAAATTTATGCTAGCCTGTTTGTACCATATTTAGTTTATATCGTCTGCAAAGTTTGTGAATGTTGAAAAAATTTCAGTTTGCCTTATCGTTTGAAATACTAAGGGAATTGAACTGGACTCATATTCCTTTTAGAGATTAAACTGTCACAGTATAGTAGTTTGCAAGGGATTCCTCAATCCCTCAAATGGCATTCAAAGACTTTAATCTGAAATGAGAAATATAGATAAAGTCAGACATTTATGATTATAGAATTTATTTAAACAAATATAATATTTCAGGTAAATTAACAGCAGCTCAGATAAAGGCAGGCTACTCTGCTTTAAAAGCAATAGAGACATTAATAGATAAAAATAAGTTTGGTCAAGAACTAGTTCAAGCTTGTGATGCATTTTATACCAGAATTCCACATAATTTTGGGTAAGCAGATGTTAAATGCATTTTATCAATGATTATGTCTGCAAAATTGTTTATTTAGTCTTGCAGTCGGAGGTGTGGCCATGTTGACATTCTTCATATTATTGTGTGCCTAGAACCAGTTCAAAGTTTTCACAAAAATAGGTTAACGCTCTTATTAGTACTGTTATTAATTTGAGCAGAACCATAAATCAGAGTTTGAAAGGTGCAGAGTATCCATTTATAGAAGTTCATCTAAGTGTTAGATTCATTAAAATATTTAAATGAGTATTTACTGAAAATGCATTCAAATGATAATTTATTAATTCTTGAAATGTAAATATAATTTCATAAATTTTAGTATGAGACAACCTCCAACCATCAAAACTAAGCCTCAAGTTAAAGAAAAATTACAGTTGTTAGAGGTAACATACATGTGGACTTTATTTAACGTCTGTTTTTAGTGTAATTCCTCATGGAGAAAAATAACCTAAATTTTATATTATAATATCATAAAAAAAGATGCTAAATTAGATCTTACAATCCCTGAAATTTGTTACATGTTTCGGTATTGGAGACTTATGAGATGTATTAAGTTTCATCACACCCATATAATAAAATGTCAAGCTAGCTTTTGGGGATTTTTTGCCATTAGTAATAGTTGATATCTTGTTATACAATCATAGTCGAAATTATACTAATATAAGATCTATAATGTGATTCAAGTCAGAAACATGTTAATTACCTAAAAATTACCCCATGATTAAAGGAGTGTACCAGTTTTCACTGGGTAGCTTAAAAAAAAAAAACCTGTTGAAGTATGCAAACTTAAATGCCAATATTGTTGATGGATCTCAGTTTCTCTATAAGATATAAATGTTTTATTGTGATTATATTCTAGGCATTAGGCGATATTGAAATAGCTATAAAAATATTAAAATCTGGTGACATGAGTGAAAATCCCATTGATCGTCATTATCATTCATTAAAATGTGATTTGGGTGTGCTGGATAAAACTCATCCTGATTTTAAGGTTTGTATATGATAAGTATAAAAAAAATTTTTTTGGGGGAATATAAACATTTGGGAGATTGAATGCATACTTTGCTTCCGATTATGAATTTAAGCTGACAGTTGAGTTTAAGTGGTTACCCTGTTCCCATAAATATCTAACAAGTGATGTTTTTTCTTGTACTGAAATTGTAATAACCACCCAACAGACACTGTCTTTGAATAGCATTAGCAGTAATTTTCAGTTAAGCAACTTATCGTGCTCTCATGCCTTAAATGTTTGGTTAGAATCTGTCATAATAAGCACCCACTAATTTGTTGGATACTTTTACAAATTTTATAGTGAAATTTTGTATGTCAAATTTGGTATCTGTCCTTATATGTGAACTGACAGGGTATTTATGATTACTATATTTATAGATATGTGAACAATATCTACTAACAACCCATGCTGCCACACATAACCAGTATAAGATGGAGTTATTAGATGTATTTACTTGTATCAAAGATGGGGAATTTGTTGATCATGGAAACAGGTAGCTTTTATTACTGATTATTACTGATGTCAATTTATGATGTAGTCTCAGTCACTTAGAATTTTATAGCTAAAGAGTTCCATTGCCTATGCGTAATTGGGAGTTTTTTCTCTTTTTTTGTGCTTTATTATCTAGTAAATTACGCCAAGTCAAGTAAGAGTTGGGCCCCTTCCCAAAATAAATCCATAATTCATTTATTATTATAAACAAACATGAATTGTGACGACCAATTAGGACTAATAAAAAACAAGATATGGTCCATGAATAGATAAATTTTACAATAAAAAAATTAACAGTTTTGATATTGAATAACACAGTTGATTGCATTTTTATACATCCACATTCTCATGTGGACGTTTATTGTCGTTGCCCCTGTCCGTCGGTCTGTCTGTCCACAATTTGTTTGTGGACACTCTACAGGTCACAATTTTTTATCCGTTTCTGATGAAACTTGAAATGCATGTTTATTATACGCCCACATTTTCATGTGGACGTATATTGTTGTCGCCCCTGTCCGTCCGTCCACAACTGTTTGTGGACACTCTACAGGTCACAATTTTTATCCAATTTCAACGATATTGATTGTGGACCCTCTAGAAGTCACAATTTTTATTCGATTTTGATGAAACTTGAAATGTATGTTTGTAACCCAAAGATCTTGGTTCCTTTCGATATTCGCGTATATGAGACTGTAACTTCCTGGATTATGGCACCAGATTGTACGAGAAATCATGTTTTTTTTAGCTTGTGGATCATCTCTAGAGGTCACAATTTTATCCGATTTTAAAAACTGTTAAAATATATCACTGATCTGCCATAATGGAGATTGAGTTCAAATCTCGTGATAATTGTAACAAAACTGTCAAACAAAATAAGCAAATTGTGTAAAAGTATGTAATACAAAGGTTGTGGAGCCTCTAGAGGTCACAATTTTATCCAAACTCGGTCCCTTTTGATATTCTCGCAATTCAGACCATAACCTCCTGGATTATGACTCCTGATAGTATGATAAAGCATTGTTTTTTGGTTTGTTTTTTTTTAGCATGTTTTCTGTCCATCTCTTGCAAAATGTGGGCATATCTTGACTATTTATGTTATACAATAAGGAGATTCTTTTCATTCCAGAATCTTCATTCCTTATAATTTAGGAGAATGTCATGCATTTGAACTTAATAACCATTAAAAAAAAAAGAACCCCAACATAAATGTATGTTTTCTGTTGAATAAAATGGAAGTAGCCATAGTAATAATGTATTTTAATTCAGGGTTTTATTATGGCATGGATCCCGTCTAACTAATTGGGTTGGTATATTAAGTCAAGGTTTACGTATTGCTCCACCAGAAGCTCCTGTTACAGGTTACATGGTATGTTAAAATCTATAAACCAATTTGATGCATAAAATCAAAAGAAATAGATGAATTTATTTATTTTAAGATATAACATAACTGTTTGGTCAAATCATTGCCTTATATGCTACATGTAGAAAACTGTCTTGGAACTTTGCCAAGGATTAACCAACTGTCATCAGCCACAATACCCTTAAATGTGAGAAGAATGGTACTTGCAGTATGTTGATCCGAGGGCAGTAACTCCATAAATTATCATTGAACATATGAAAATAGTAACCGTCAGGAGTTTTCAGACACTTTTTCAGAGTTGCCTTGTAAAGATAGATTTTGTCACATCTTGTCTCAGTCTCTGTCATCATCATCATCATTGCTTTATATATTGCAGTTTGGTAAAGGAGTTTATTTTGCTGACATGTCAAGTAAAAGTGCCAACTATTGTTTTACATCTAAAGCAAAAAATATTGGATTACTTTTACTATGTGAGGTAAGAAATTATATTAATGTAGTAACCCAATCTTGCACACACACACACGCGCACACGCACTATGCTCAGAACAAGGATGAACCATCATCGTCAACATATCCTGAATCCACAATATAGGATGATCCCACTAAGTGACTATTTAGGTTTTTGCGGTGGACGAGAGTTTAAAGTTTTCCCGTTATATAAATTAAATAGCAATAACAGCGATTTACTAGAGGCCAAAGAATCATATTTTATTAAAAAATATCGGCCAGAATTAAATGCAAAATTAGGAATTGTTATAATGCAGTATTATTGTAGTTATAATTTCAGTTATGCTCCTTCTGAACAATACTCTGTAACTATGACGCTATGACATCATAATCATTATTGTGTTATCTTTATCGTTTAACCATAGTATATTTGTCTGGAGAGCATTAGCGAAAGTACTTAAAAATATATACAAATGTAGTTCTTTAATCCATATTTTATTTATTTTTTTGTAAAGAACGTTTAAACAGTGTTTGTATATTATTTTATAGGTATCTCTAGGTAATGTTAATACATTATTAAATGCTGATTATACTGCTGATAAACTACCTAAAGGTAAACATAGTGTATTAGGTGCTGGTAGAGTGGCTCCTGATCCTAAATCTAAAGTTGTCATTATTATTTTATAGGTATCTCTAGGTAATGTTAATACATTATTAAATGCTGATTATACTGCTGATAAACTACCTAAAGGTAAACATAGTGTATTAGGTGCTGGTAGAGTGGCTCCTGATCCTAAATCTAAAGTTGTCACGTAAGCATATTTCAATCTTTGTAGCTGTACTAAAAAAACAACAATATAAATATATTCAATTTGCAATTCCAATGCTGATAACTCATACAAGCTGTAACTTTCTCATCTAGTTAAGAAATCTTGGCTAATGCAAAAACATGGCCCCTTTAAAGCCCCACCCAATATGCCAGAATAAAGGTTAAAGATAAAGAGTTTGGTCCAAAATATTATTCATATTGGTCAATTCTGTCTCACACTGCCAGCTTTATATGTCTCAGAAAATAAAGTAATAATAATTATATCTTTTTTCATACAATCCAGCCCATCTAGTTTGACTTGTGTGGTATATGAAAACAGTATGGCTTGTGCCTTTAAACATACACACAGCATACTTCCTGTATTTATATTTGGTATTTGGTTGCGGGGCGGGGTGTGGCAAATCGTGGTCTGAAGTGTGTACTTTAGAGCCTTGTCATTACGTCGACCGGTTTCTATTCCCAGATTATGGAAACAGAATTAAACCATGTTATGTTAGTCCCAAAATGAGGTAGTTTGTGTTGAGTGGACCTTAACTCCCATCTCTCTATATGAAGTATTATTACTATTATTTGACATATTTCAGGAGTGATGGTGTAACAGTTCCTATTGGTAAAGGTCAGGATACCAAGATTGTGAATCCTAGTGGTTATACTCTAAATTATAATGAATACATAGTGTACGATACCAAACAAATCAAAATGAAATACCTGTTAAAAGTTAAATTCAATTACAGATAAGATATGGATATAATAGCTGTCCTATATGCACTGGGCTTTTATTCACAGGATTAAGAAAAGGGTGTGAAATTCTGCATAAGCTTAAAACTAGTGATAGTCCGATAATCTGTTTGAACATCGGTAATTGGCAGATAAGTGGCCTTTCGGGAAAAATCGGTATTGACTGATACACAACCATTTTGCCGATACTTGAGTTGCCGATATCTGTTCAAAACGACTCAATAATTACCTTTAAAATATTATCCGAGTTGTGAACAAATCATTATTTTGCTTGACACACGGTGAATCTAAATAGCCACGCACACGTGCACATTGCTATTTAGAGGTACCGGTAATACAAGACGTAAAAAGAAAAGAATAAACAGTAGAAAATCATAAGCAGTCTCCGTTATAGCCACGTAAATCCTTATTCACACACTGTTTGAGAGTTTGATTCTCTAAATCAGATTTTTGAGAATGTCATTTCTGCGCATGTGCAGACAGACATTAACGTACAACAGTCCACCTGATAAACCTTTTTATTGGAATAGGGAATAAGCCAATTGCATGATGATCAAAATCATAGAATTGGACAACACAGTCAGTACATCACGGAAACCCCTCTTCGATCTGTTTTAAAAGTGTGCTGATCACAAACTAGAACAATACTTAATTAGGCTATTGATTTTTTTATTGTCCCCCGCCTTTCGAAGAAAGCAGGGGACTATTAAAATGGGTTCGTCCGTCTGTCTGTCCGTCTGTCTGTCCGTCCGTCTGTCTGTCCGTCTGTCTGTCCGTCTGTCCGTCCGTCTGTCTGTCCGTCACACTTTTTGGGACACAATAACTCTCTTCCTAATTGAGCTAGAATGTTCAAACTTGGTGTATGTGTTTATTAGGTCAATGCCTTGATGGAGTTCGAAGATGAGCATTTTCCGCTTAGGGTAAGCAGAGATAAGCAATTTGATTGGTTGATGCTTTGGGACACGATAACTCTCTTCCTAATTGGGCTAGAATGTTCAAACTTGGTGTATGTGTTGATTAGGTCAATGCCTTGATGGAGTTCGAAGATGAGCATTTTCCGCTTAGGGTAAGCAGAGATAAGCAATTTGATTGGTTGATGCTTTGGGACACGATAACTTTTAATTGAGCTAGAATGTTCAAACTTGGTGTATGTGTTTATTAGGTCAATGCCTTGATGGAGTTCGAAGATGAGCATTTTCCGCTTAGGGTAAGCAGAGATAAGCAATTTGATTGGTTGATGCTTTGGGACACGATAACTCTCTTCCTAATTGGGCTAGAATGTTCAAACTTGGTGTATGTGTTGATTAGGTCAATGCCTTGATGGAGTTCGAAGATGAGCATTTTCCGCTTAGGGTAAGCAGAGATAAGCAATTTGATTGGTTGATGCTTTGGGACACGATAACTTTTAATTGAGCTAGAATGTTCAAACTTGGTGTATGTGTTTATTAGGTCAATGCCTTGATGGAGTTCGAAGATGAGCATTTTCCGCTTAGGGTAAGCAGAGATAAGCAATTTGATTGGTTGATACTTTGGGGCACGATAACTCTCTTCCTAATTGAGCTAGAATGTTCAAACTTGGTGTATGTGTTGATTAGGTCAATGCCTTGATGGAGTTCGAAGATGAGCATTTTCCGCTTAGGGTAAGCAGAGATAAGCAATTTGATTGGTTGATGCTTTGGGACACGATAACTTTAGTTGTCCCCCGCCTTTTGAAGAAAGCAGGGGACTATTAAAATGGGTTCGTCCGTCTGTCTGTCTGTCCGCCTGCCTGTCCGTCCGTCTGTCTGTCCGTCACACTTTTTGGGACACAATAACTCTCCTTCTAATTGACCTAGAATGTTCAAACTTGGTGTGGGTGTATATTAGGTCAATGCTTTGATGGAGTTCGAAGATGAGCATTTTCTGCTTAGTGTAAGCAGAGATAAGCAATTTGATTGGTTGATGCTTTGGGACACGATAACTTTAGTTCTAATTAAGTGAGAGTGATGAAACTTGGTGTATAGTTTTATTACATCAGTACCTTGACTAAGTTCGATGATGAGCATTTTCTGCTCAGGGTAAGCAGAGCGATAAGCAATTTGATTGGCCGAGACTTCGGAACACAATAACTCTCCTTCTAATTGAGCTAAAATGTTCACACTGCTTCTAATTGAGGTAGAATGTTTAAACTTGATGTAGATGTTCGTCTTGACTGAGTTCAATGATTAACATATCGATCTCAAGCTAAGCAGAGATAAGCAATTTCCTTGGTCGATGCTTTGGGACAATATAACTTTGATTCTGTCTGATAGAGAGTGATGAAATTTAGTGTATAGTTGATAAACAGTTTGATTGCTCGATACTTTTGAAAAAAATAAACAGTTTGATTGCTCGATACTTTTGAAAAAAATAGATGTGCGATTAATTAATATGTGGCATCTATTTATTTGCGGATTTCGGCGGGGGACATCAGCCTCACTGTTGGCTTGTTTAAATTGTTTCTGATAATTTATTAACTATATGAAATAAACAATGGTCCTCACAATAGTTATTTGTCTATCACGATAATAAAACCAAAGAAGTTGTCAACAATGGCCCTTCATTGCATATCTGGCTGGTATGAAGCGTCTTGTGCTGTTATGTCGCTTATCGTAAAATAGTTCCAAATCTTACTACTTCTGGCATGCATTTTTTTCCCTGCGTTTTATCTAGTTCCCTGCTGGTATTGTTTGGACACTTTCATAATTGGTAGAAGTTTTGGAAAAGGCGGGGAAAATATTACATGGTTTACGCGTGATTGGAATGAAAGATAAAAGGGGGTATATCCCTTTGATGTCACGTGATTACTGTCAGACATTCCGACTTCTAGAGTAGATGTCGATAAAAATTTAGAAATAATTTAGTGATTTATATTGTTATGCTAGGCTACTTTAAAAATTTAGACATAATTTGTATCAATAAATAATAACTTATAATATAGATCATACTACCAACAAATGAGTTTCTATTAGATGGTTTTATATTTAACTATAGTTCTAGAAATGGCGGGAGAATGTCACGTGATTGCCACTGTTGACAGCATTATGATACAGCATTAATGATACAGCAAATAATCCAGTTTGTAATAGATTTGTGATTGCTTAGGAAGCGTGACCCAATTTTATTACTTCAAAAACACAGCGTTCGTGTTTGATTCCCGAGGTAAAATAGTACCATGCGTTTCTCGACTAATAATGACGTACGTATATCTACATAGATTATCTTGCCATTCAAGGCATTTTAATGTGTAATAGTTTTATATCCACCACTATCGGTAATTGTATCTGTATCAGCCGATATATTTTGCAGTCAATATCTGATATCTGTAAAACCGATCGGTGCCATATCGGACCATCACTACTTAAAACGTTCCAATTTGAACATCCTTAATGTAATTGCAGTCAAATCAAATTACATGGAAATTATTTTGTTCCTAGTTATCTGAATAGAAGCTCAGAATTCACCACTTACACAGTAGTTCATTTTATTCCTGCAATCATGTATATCATCTTAATGGTAATTGTACTGTAGGATTTAGTATATTATGCATATTTATCTAGACAATCATTGTCATAATTGTTATTCCACTTTATAAAAACAATCATAAAACATTGTAATGTCTCAAGTAGGTTAAAATATGTCGTTCTTATACTATGCTGAAAAATTATATAACATGTATGTTTTCAATTATCTGCTTGGAATGGTGGCATTTTGTAATTAAGTCCTACCAAAGATTTAACAGTCATTCCTTCATCCTTTGTAATTACATCCATTTGCACCATTACCAATTCGTATGTGACCTTTTTACTTTTATTTTAGTACATAGTTGTTAGTGAATTTTTTGTTAAATTATGTTGAAATTGTACAGGTGTTTTTTGTTTCTTTGTAAAATTACAACAAAAATGGTCAGCTGTGTGGACTTGACAAATTTATTATGTGTTTCAGACTTTCGGTCGAAACACATGTTGCTTCTGTAAGTGTTTTTATTATTTTATTTTGTGTGTGGGGGGTGCGGAATTTAGTCAGAGTTTGCCGCCAAAACTGTACATGGTGCAAACATTCTGTTAACGTAGATGTTGTTGACTTCTGTGGATCTATTTATTGGGTCACTTTTGATAAACAGGTAGTGTTTTACGGATGGGACAAAAAATAATCTCAGATTGCCCATATCTCGGTTATTTCTCAACGGATCTCCTTTGGTTTTTCATTTTTATACGCCCACATTGAAATGTGGACGTATATTGTCGTCGCCCCCGTCTGCCCACCCGTCTGTCCGGCGTCCACAATTGCTTGTGGATGCTCTAGAGGCTAAAGTTAATATCCGATTGACTTTAAATTTATACACAGTGTTTAAGGTCATGAGACGAAGAAGCCTATTGATTTTCAGCGATTTCCGATAATTACTGTCAGAGTTATGGCCCTTAATCACTTAAAAAAATCTTGTGGACGCTCTAGAGGTCAAAGTTAATATCCGATTGACTTTAAATTTATACACAGTGTTTAAGGTCATGAGACGGAGAAGCCTATTGATTTCCAGCGATCTCTGATAAATACTGCCAGATTTATAGCCCTTGATCACTTCAAAAAATCTTGTGAACGCTCTAGAGGCTAAAGTTATCATCCAATTGACTTCAGAATTATTAATTACTTCATGAGTTGTTACTCTTAATCAGATTTTAGTGTATTATAAATGTTTCATTTAGCTGCTGTGGGCGTATGTTTCGTTGCCTGGCAACCTATCTTTGGATTCTTTGGACGAATCCCATATGGGCTCAGACTGACGTTTTTTCGACATTCGGAAGTTCGCTTGATTAGTTTTAGCATCAAAGATTTGCGAAAGTTTTCTTCATCATTTTTTCGACATTCAAGATGGCATATCTCGGTCACTATTTGAAGTATCAAGTTGAAACTTGGTAGGAATAAGGAAAACATCGATGCCTTCAAAATGGCATATTCACAAATTTTATGACAGCTTCCAGATATTACCGTGGCCTTCCGATTTTTCCTGAACATGAAGAGACCAAAAATGACGTGTTAGTCCCAGATATTATCTTTCATTTTCAGAAACTGTGTTCGATAACATTTTCAACAGTTTGGCTGCCATATTTGATTTTACAAAAAACCTTCAAATCGATATTCAGTCACCATTTTGGTTCCGATTTCACTTCGAATTTTTTTGACTTTTGACCTTTTATAATTGGTGACCTGATCTTTCAATGACCCTTGACCTTTGTATGGATATATATGATGACCTTGATGTCAACTAACAGTTAATATCAAAAAGTTTGGTCTTGAAGTATAATTTCCTGTTTCATTAAGAGTTCAAAATGACAGGTTTTTCCACTTTAAACAGTCCTACCTTGTTAAAGAATCCTATTGGCAAATTGGCAAACATATCAATTTCAACTTCAAATTCAAACGTTTGAAGATAGCTATTCCATGGTGGGGAATAGGAAAACAAGGGAGGTAATTGTGTTATTATTTCCGGTGCAAAGATTTTTAAGTGTGAGAAAGATAACCTATGATCCTATAATAGTGAGTTGACAACCTATTGAGCAAAAGACATAGAAATAATTATGTTTTGACTTTCTTAGAAAATATGAAATTGTAACTTTAATAGGTATTGGATGTAACTATACTCATTAATGCATGGTGTAACTTGATTGTTGATGTGACAAGGCATGACCTGATGTACCGAGTTCTAGTTTAATTTGGTATTAGTCCTGGTTGAGGATAGTATTGGCTTTGCCCATTCTATTTTCACAGGGTGGTTGGATGGCCGAATGGTTAGCACGTGCACGCTGCATCATAAAGTCTGTCATTGAGTCAACAACTGGTGTGGTATTGATTCCCCGGTTGTACATGACAAGGAGTAGAATTCATCTGTCCAACCTCGTGGGTTTTCTCAGGGTCCCCTAAAGAGCCCTGCGCGCAAGCGAATTATTGAAATAAAATTGAACCCTGTGTTAGTCTCGAAATGACCTAGTTTGTGTCGAGTGGACATTAAACCCTCTCTCCACAAGCAGAGATTGGGCATAGGTGGCTTGTGACAATAATATTTTACTGAGCTTTGTGATGACAAACGGTAGCTAACCTTACACTAAGATCACTTCCACTGTAACCAGTGCTTGTGTTCTCGATCTCGAAAGAGTAACCATATGTTGGGATAATAATTTGGGCGTGGAAGTCGAGGTCATATTTTATTTCGAATAAATGGCAACCAACAGTCATAGGGGTGTAGTTTATATTAGTAACCAGATATAGCGGTGTAGTTTATATTAGTAACCAGATAACTAAGATCAATTATTTAAAAGATTTCTTTTATTACACACTTAATTGCAATATGGAGAACATTTTGTGTAAGTTATCTTTGCAATCATGACATGCAATCAGTAGGTATAAATGATATAATGACTCTACAATAATTTCACAAAGATGGTAATGAATAAAACATATTACTATATGCTATAAAAACTGAAAAAAAACAAAAAACAACCATGACCGAGTGGTATTGTTTTTCTTGGAAACGAAATAACACTAAGTGGTATTGTTTTTCTTGAAATAGCACTATCGAATTTAGTATACTTATTTTTGATGAGTTACTTGATGTAATCTATTGTAAGACTAGTGAAAATAAAAATTATTAGCAGATAAATTTTATAAGGTATTTTGGGGTACATGTTTTATTTTGTTCAAATCCATTTTCCCATAATCCTTTAATTCTGACTAGAGTTTCTGAATTTCTGCTTTAAATTTAACTAGAAGAAATGCTGTTGAAAATTTGAAAATCATGAAGCATCAAATATAGATGAAGATAAACAAAACTTAATTAAAAGATAATACATAACATAGATTTATACACTCTACAAGGTTTTAGATTATAGTAACCATTTTAGTTATAATATAAATAAAAGAATAATTCAAATAGTATTAAATTAGGTTTGCTTTACAAAACTTTGTAACTTAAAAGATGTTTTTATTACAATTAATAATGACTTCAATCATTGACAGATTTTGCTAAAACTACTGTAATCTGATTCACATGATTATAACAGCAATCTAATTAAGCCGACAAGCTGATAAATGAAATACTTTGCTTTAACTTTAACTTAAATCTGTACAATTTGCTTTATTCCTGCATGTTTGGGACATATACCATCAAAAAGATAACACCAAGCTAAAACAAAGCAATATACAATATGTTTGGGTTTTATTTTTCAATGAATGCTATTAAGCAATGTCATAATTATAGACAAATTAAAAGTCTTAATATAAAACAAATACACAATGTATGTCAGGAATTTTGTTGAAAATTAACATACATCTTGCATTAATTACGCATGAAAATTCACCATTAATTTAATATCTTAGGGAAATTATATCTATTTATTATTTTTTTATTTACAATTACTATATCACAGGAATAATATATTCAACCCCTACTCTCTCTCTCTCATGCTTACCACAGTCACACTGAGAAAATTAAATTTACACACAAAAAGAAAGAAAATGAACAGCACACATATTCCAGCACTCAGCTACAACAAAAACAATGTACAAATATACATGCTTATATACTGCAAAACAAGAAATCAATGAGAATAAGATATTGTTTCACTAATAGATCTATTGCTAGTTGCAATAATTCCAATTAGCTTCTGACTGATATCTGGAACATCTTGCATTAATTTTTTTTATTCTGTTTTTAATTTTGGGTAGCCTACTCTACATAAAGATTAAACTACATCTTTAACAATTTTGTGTTTGTTAAGTTTAATTTAAGTCATGTTTACAACAAATTTTACATTTGAAACAGGAATAAATTAATTTAGACTTTGATAATCTAAGGTGAATGAAGAAGAAAAAGTTTTAGACCGGTCAATAAAGCATATCAGACTAATTTCATGGCATTTCAAGTTCTTGTTTTACAGTACAACATTATTTGTATTGGTTTAAATTTTATTCAATAATCAATCAAGATACTTCTTCTTGTGATTGTTGACGTTGAATATTAATATGTTCATAATTCACCAATCTTTGTCCAACCAAATATCTGAAAAAACAAAGTTTTAATAAACATTTATTAAAAATACTTTTTTTTTTTTAGATCTTTCAACTGAAGAAAGTCATCTTGCATTTTAAAGAACCATAATTATGAAGCAGTTGAGGGAAACTCGAGTTCATAACTCTTCATATTGATATGAAATATACATTTTTTTTATACGCCCACATTTTCATGTGAACGTATTATGTTGTCGCCACTGTCCGTCCGTCCACAAATTGTTTGTGGACACTCTACAGGTCACAATTTTTATCTGATTTTGACGAAACATGAAATATAGTTTTATCTCCCAAAGATCCCGGTTCCTTTCGATATGTATCACACCATAACTTCATGGATTATGGCCCCTGGTTGAACAAAAAATCATGTGGACACTCTAGAGGTCACAATTTTCGTCTGATTTTGATGCAACTTGAAATGGATCCTTTCAATATTCGCGCATATCAGATCATAACTTCCTGAATTATGGCCCCTGATTGTACCAAAAATTGCTTTTGTTTTTAGCCTGTTCTCTATCCATCTCTTGCGTGGGTCTATCTTGCCTCACAACCACCTGTTTAAAGTTTTAAAGCTTTTTTTTTGCACAAGTAGCTACAAATGTAATCATATTTGGGCCATTTCAGCTGTATTTATTTATAGACACTAATTTCCAAGCAACAAAACCTTAAATCCACAGACAAAAGATAGGTTGCTAGGCAATGAAACATATGCCCACAGCAGCTAAATTATCCAAGCAGTCACATATTTTTTTCTTTTGTAGTTAACAGGAGTATTTACAAGACACGGATATTACTTCCATACAGATCAGATGATAACTTTTGTCGTTAGACCTTTCACAAGGCTCAACTCTAGGGGTTATATACGGAAATTGCTGTAATTCTTTAGGCTTCTTTGATTTACTAATCTAAATAATGCACATGAATTTAATACAGATCATATGATAGATTTTGCGGTTAGATTGTTTAAAATGTTCAACAAAGTAAAACAAGGGCCATAACTCTAGAAGTAATAAATGGAAATTGTTTTGTCTCACTAATGTAAACAACATACATAAATTTAAAAAAGATCAGATAATACATGTAGTCTGTAGAGTGTTCACAAGATATTGTGGATGCCGATGGCAATATACGACCACGTTTCCATGTGGGCGTATAATAAAACTGTGTCTGTTTGTACCCTTGTCTTAGATTTAATTCATACTCATTAGTGGTCTTATAATAGACTGCATGTACTTACTTATCATCTTTAATGTGATTGTACAGGCGTTTAAATTGACGTAGTTGGAATGTACAAACACTTATGATAACAATACAACTAAGAAGATATGGATAAATTCGTCTTTCAACAAGTATTAAAGTTGCTTCATCTATATCTGAAAACAAATGGAATTGTACTTTAGTCCATTTGCCATTTTAAAAAAAATGACACAAGAATAGAGGCGTATTGGCACTTTATAATCAATTTGATTTGAAATGATTTTATTATACGATGTGGATATGATCAAATTAGATTGTATGCAACATTGGAGATAACTTCATTACCAGTCAAACATTCGACAGCTATGAAATAGGGCATGTCTTTTGACACCACACTCCCGCCATGTCAGATTCACAGTGAAGCATTTGAGTACAGTAGTATTATACTAACCAAATAAGGGCACAACACTTTTTGAGAGAACATATGGTATAGCTAGAGCCATTCCTAATGTCATGACAACAGGTAAACATAGATGACGTAATATATACATAAGATTCATATTCCTCAATCCATCATTATACACCTATAAATAAATAAATACAAACTGTTATCATTATTATAGCATATTTATAGTGCACCCTTTCATATCACTTGTTCAGAGGCACTTTAGAAAGTAAAAATGTAATAATAAATAAACAACATATTAACAGTTGTATATACAGAGTCAGTTAAAAAAGCCTGTTTAAATTATAAAGGTGTTTTAAGTGGTAGATTATTCCATAAAACAGGGGCTGGGCCTTGAAATTTAAAATAATGATAATCATAAGAGACTAGTTGAACAGTTTGGGGCTTTAAAAGTAGTTTATCTTTAAATATGATTCTTCCAGAATAATTGGATGTGTTTTGTCTGAAAAGTATGTTATTTCACAAAAAACAAAGAACAGACAAAAATTTCATAAGCCTACAATAATAAACTTATGTATCAGAGATCATTTGCATGGTGCCAGGCAACAATAGAGCCCATTCATCTGCAATGATATTAACTTGGAAGCATTTCATAAGATAAATATCAAAATCTGTTTAGGTAGTTTAAATATAGGGATAGGGGTCTGACATAGGCATTTTGCCTGTTCCCCAATTTCCCATTCATTTATAGTGAATAAAATATGTTTATAAAAAAAAAAAAAAATATGTTTTCCAATAATTGATAGGGTGTATAGTTAAAATCTTGGGTGTAAAAGAGAATCTCTAAATGTTATGAGCACTGCTTACTGCAGTCTTACTCACAAAAACTTGAACTAAATTTCATTGGCTTGTGGCAAAATTTGAACAAGGATTTTAACTTTTAGCCAATGAAAATTATCTAAATTAAATAATTCAACAGATAATAGTTTTTGGGGAATGTTAAACCACCCACCTGTTCCATGACTCTTTTTAACCACCACTGTGGTCCCATCATAGTAACAGCACATATTATCTTAGCATGTAGAACACCTAAAGCCCAGTCCTATACAGTTATAAATAAAAAAAAAATAAGTATTAAATAATTTATAAACTGATGTGAATGTGCAATTAACCTATTATGTACGTGGATAGAATGTCATTTCTTTAAAAAAAATCAATTTAAAAAAATAACATCAATTAAATTATCTGGACACACATTTATCCTGCAGGTACAATATCTATATAATTCCATTAACTTATGACCATTGGAACAATATATTGTGCCCACAATATAAGACAATATTGTTTGGGTAAAAACACACAGCTTCACATGTTTTTAGTGTGATGCAAGTGTTTGAGCATACTCAATAAAAATCATTTTTTGGATTTCCAATATTCAGAGTGGAGTAGAAGCTCTACAAGTAATACTAGACATTGCTTTCAATTCAATAAATCTGAATAACAAATTAAACAAGAAGATTGAGTCATCAACATATTGAAGGAAAAAGATATTTTGAACTGTTTATGAGATACTAGCAGATAACCCGACGCTGCCTGGGTTGTGCACGTAACTCCAAAACTGGAAATGGGAGGCTACCCCAATACATCACATTTCAGCCTCGGGACAGTGTCGCTGCCAACCCTGAACAGACAAACAGACTGATAGACAAACGACAGTCACAACTTTCAGTGGAAACACAAAAATGATTAAATCCAAGAAATTTTTAATTAGATGAAGGCACAACTAAAATAATAGGTTGGTGTGTTTGCAACAAAGTTTCAGAAAGATATCTTCAATGGTTTACGAGACATACCCAGAGGTATTGAAGGAGTCCCACCCCTTTGCCGAAAACCTAATGTTAACACCATAGAGACTATAACTTTTTAACATATTTTTTTACAAATTTGGTGTTTAGCATTTAACTCATACCAGGACGATCACTGCAAAATTAAACAGTACAAAAAAACAATGAAATTGGTTGATGTGAGTTAATGCAATAATAGTGACCATATTATTTATGTATTACCTGCCAAGGAAAGAAAACCGGTGACTGATCTAATGGAACACGGAGTGGTGCCACTACAACTAGTTCAAATAATAAACCCAATAATAATGGTACAGCACCAATTAACATAACAGCAATAACTATAGATTTAATGGCCTGTAAAATAAATTCAGATATAAGCATATCATGTACATATAATCTTAGGTTTATTAAAATGTGGGAATATAAAAATGGTGACAAAAATATAATTATGTCTTTGTAATGTTATGTATTGATACTTTGACGGTAAACTGATTTCAAGTCATCTGAATATTGACAGACAGACTATTTCATCAAACACCGAAATCTCACTATTAGCGAGTCAAACCTCCAATATCTTGTTAGTCAGGCTTTCCTGATAAATTGACGGTAATTTCGGAAAATAAAAAAAATTAGAAACAAAATGAAATATCAAATTATATTAATAATTAAGTCAATGTGGGCTAATCTACTTTCAAGGTTAAAAACTCATAAGGAAAAGAGTAAATTAATTTTCAGATCATCCTGAACATGAATAAAGTAGTTAAATGAAGAGACATGTCAACTTACCAGTATTGACCAATGTCTGAGTTTATTGACTATAACAGCCCAGCCTTGTGGTATCCAGTTATACAGAAACAAACTGATTCGTAATGATAACCAACACACATATAGACCACAAGCCGCTGTATATAACTCATGTATTTTAGCTTCTCCCATCCACACAGACATTAAACGGCGTCCAATAAAAACTGTAAAAAATTAAATAGTTCATGTGGATTAGGTGTGTACATAAAATGATTATACGCAAAATGGATCACATATATATTTTAGTTTTCTTTATCTGCTATCTACCTTATAGATATGACCACATTTGAATTAAAGGTAAATAAATTTACAAAGAAGCACTTTATCACAATATATAATAACTTATATTCAATGCTTGATAATGACTAGAGAAGCCCAGTCGAAACATCGCACAGTAATAAGCAGTAATTGTATTCCATAGAATTGTGACCTGTATACTCTAGTTCAATTCCTAAATGCCATTGAAACAATATATAATAACTTGTGGTCATGAAACCTACTCAGTTGTTTATAATATCAAATAAACTTGGTTCCATGGTAAAATAAAATCAGCCTTATAATAAAAATCCAATTTCTTAATGTTATTCACAGAGTAAATTAGAATTAAGTGTATACCTGGTAATGTAAGAGACATGAGACTAGCAGCAAATAAAGTAATACACATTAACACCACTAACATAATTACCTACAAATATAGAAATATCATAATATTCATAATAATATACAGAGTAATACAAATTGCTGAAAGTAAGGACTTATAAAATTTCAAATGTATATATATCAATGAACTCAAAATATCCATATATTTAAATTTACAAAACAAAAGTATTATCAACTTGTTATCATCCAGATTAATATTGGACTTGGTGGCATATAAATCATGATCAAAAATTAAATTTCATTTCTTGTTTTTTTACTGGGTTTTTAATTGAGGCTAGCTTTGTTGAATCTTTAATAAACATCTAATATTTTACATACTTCTTCAATCAAATCAAGAAAACTCTTAAAGAGATAAAGTAACAATCTGACTATTATATGAAAACTAGAACGGGTATGAGAAATCAAGAGACAACTTCTGAGAATGATAAATACCCTGACAGCAAAAAAATGTGGTCTTTTATATGGTTGAAATCCTGTAGGTCCTCCACCCTGTAACATGGCTTGATGTGCTGCTCCTAAACCCTCTCCGTCACCCTGAGGTTGAGCTGGTTGCGGTGCAGCATTATTAGGTGGTGGATTAGCTTGTTGGGGAGGTGGTTGATCTCCATGTATGACTTCATCCTAGCAAATAAATAGAAATAATTAAAGGGTTTGCATATTTTCTAGGGAAGAAAACTATAAAGAAAGGATAAGGATACCCTGCCTGATGCATAAATCACATCATTACTTTACACGAAGTTTGATCACCCCCCATCAATTAGAAAAGCTATCGTGTCTCAAAGCATGGACAAATTAAATTGTTTATCTTTGCTTAACTTGAGCACAAAATGTTCATTATTGAATTCAGTCAAGATGTTCATTTGATGACCATTTACACCAAGTTTGAACAGTCTGACCCAACTAGAAGCAGTTGTTCAAAAAGTGAACAAAATATCTATCAAAAATCTTTAAATAAATCTTCAAGAAAACACAAAAATATTTGCTTGAATCGTATTTGAAAGTTAGAAATTAGAATGCCAATATCTCAGCTTTTCTCAAATTTTTCACAGAATCTAATTTGAATACTCCCAATGCAATTGTATGAAAATCTCAGAGTGGTATTATCTATATGCTAAGTAATGTTTTCACAATAAAATATGTACTGACCCCATCTTCAATTGTAACATCACCAATAAGATATGATCGTAGATTTAATAACCAGGCTACACCGACAGTCCAAGCTCGTACCATACTCTTCATCCATAGCCTAGTATGACCTTGTTCTAATAAAGCTGGTAAAACGACTTGTAATAATAACAGTTCTAGTGATAATTCACTCACTGGAGCATCACTGGCAAACAAAATAAAACATTATTCAAACAAATGATATTAAATGTAACATAAAAATCATGATATCAACTTACTGTTTTTTTGAAAGATTAAAAGGTCAATGTGGAAAGTCATTTAAACAACTTTACTCTAGCCCTGAGAGTCGTTTGACGATTTAAATACAACAGTCATAGACTAGATATAGTGTCTTATTCAAAGACAAAAGTTTGCTAACTCCCTGTCCTTTTTCCTTCTTTCTATCATGATCAGCCCATGAGGATGCAAAGAATATTCTTTTAAGTTGGATGGTACTTTAATTCTTAGTTTTGTCAATACCAACAATACTCGAAATTTCGTAATTGTATAAATTCAAAAGGAAATATTTCATATCATTTTAATTGTAGAGTTTTTGATAAATGATTGATATTTGCAAAAAGAATCCAATGATCACAAAAAAGATTTTGACCCTACACATGAGATTGAGCAACATATTTGATTTAATGTAGGGGGGTTGGATGGCCGAACGGTTAGCATGTGCGCATTGAATCATAAGGTCTGTCATTGGGTCAACTGGCGTGGTTTCGATTCTACAGTTGTACATGACAAGGAGTGGGGTTGCCTGTCCAACCTCGTGGGTTTTCTCCAAGTCCTCTGGTTGCCTCCCACTGCTAGACCCCTACGCGCAACTAATTATTGAAATAAAGTTGAATCATATGGTAGTCCCTAGATGACCTAGTTTGGGTCGAGTGGACATTAAACTCCACTTCTCTTTCTCTGATTTAATATAACATAATATGAGTTTTGTATACTTACCTAGATAACATAACATGATAGGGAAGAAATGTAACAAACAATTTACGAATAACTCGTATCGGTAACCATAACATTAACAATACAGTACTACCAAATATAATCTGAAATACAAAATACATTCAAATTTGGAGGAAAATAAATAATAAAATACAATATCAATGATTAAATGCACATAAATAATCAGATACTAATTTTCATATAACTCTTGGGCAGCCATGAGAACATATGCAAATATTATTTTTATAAGAAGAAGGTAAACTTACCACTGATGCTATAAATCTCCTAACATGACGATAAACTGGTAGATGAATCATCTGAAAATAAAATATCATTTAATAAAAAGAAAAACAGACATCAAATAACACAGCAATATTATATTAACTAAAGATGTACAATTCTTTTTATTTCATATATAAACAATATTTTATTCAGGTTGTCTGAATGGGATTGGGGAACAGCATTAGACTATGTAAAGCCCCTCTCCCAAAATAATTTATATATATAATATACTATTCAAAAAAAGTAGGGGATATTTGATTTTTAAGTGTTATTAAAGTCACCTAATGAAACTGACGAAGAAACAAATGACAAAATGAAATGAAGTTCACATTCATCGATTTATTCCAAATGATCGTTAGACTAAGTAAGGCACAGACTGACCATTATAAGGGTAAAATGATACCCGGGGTCAAACAGCAAAGTTACCACAGCATCACAACCAAGTCAGTAACGGGTAAATCCTCCTCTGTTTGCCAAACAAGCATTGATCCGACGTGGCATACTCCTAATGAGACGTCTAAGGTCATTTTGGTCCAGATTGTCCCATTCCTGTTGCAACGCAGCAGCAAGTTCTTGGACATTGGCAGGACGTTGTTGACGTTGACGTAACCTCTGTCCAAGCATGTCCCAGACATGCTCGATGGGGGAGAGGTCGGGACTCAGTGCTGGCCAAGGTAATGTGGTGATGTTCTGTTGTTGGAGGTAACCTGTAACGATCCTGGCCCTGTGACATCTTGCGTTGTCATCCTGGGAGATGAAACGGCGGCCATGACTTCGTGCGAACGGCACAACATGGACTGCCAAGATGTTGTCCCGGTAGTACTGGCCTGTAACACGCCCTGCAACAACATGTAAAGCCGTTCTTCCAGCAACAGTGATGCCTCCCCACACCATAACAGAACCACCCCCAAATCGATCATGTCTGATGACGTTAACGTCTTGGAAGCGCTCGTTTCGACGACGCCACACCCTCCTACGTCTGTCCAAAAAATCAACAGTGAACCTTGACTCATCTGAAAACATCACATTGCTCCAGCGTCGATTATCCCAGTGTTGACGATCCCTACACCAACGACGTCTTGCCTGAATGTGATGATCTCTCAAACAAGGGATCACGCGAGGACGTCGGGCGCGAAGGTGACCCCTATGCAGTCGATTCCGAATCGTCTGGCCACTCACTCTCACACCAGTGTCTGTTTGAAGACGAGCGCTGATCTGATTTGCTGTGATGACACGATTTCTCAAGGCCAAGGTACGGATAAATCGATCCTGGGCTTGAGTTGTCGCCCTTGGTCGACCTGAGCGTGGTCTGTCCTGTACAGATTGTGTATCACGGTATCTGGACCATAGCCTGCTTATGACAGACTGAGAAACATTCATCGTCCGCGCCACAACCGCCTGTGTTGTGCCGATCTGTAGCATGCCAAGGGCACGTAACCTTTCATTTTGGGTAAGCCGACGCATATCAAAATTTGTTTTCTGGTCACTAAAACAATTAAACTGATGTTTCCACCCTGGAATTCAATGCCACAATGACTGTAACATTCAAAATCAGAGTCGTGCAAATCTTGGGTTGGACCCCCATGATGATCCCAAGCATCACCTGCATTCCATGCGGTAGCTATTGGTGCGTTTGGGCGTCACATGTAACTGGAAATGTTTCTTCTGTTAGGTTCTATAGTGACTTTTTTCGTAGTCATTTGCATATTTTAGTATTATGCCCCCAAAATCAAATATCCCCTACTTTTTTTGAATAGTATATTAATGCAAATGGGTGTATGTATATACATAGTTAAAATGGCAAACACATACATATTATATAAATATAAAAGAATGGATGAAAATGTACAATATATATAATAGGTCATAGTTATACATACACAAGAATAATAGATATTTTTAATAAACATCGGAAAAAGTAAAAACTGAACATTTAACAAATGGTAGGATACTATTTTATCGACATTAAAATCTTTTTGACATATCAATAACTTATGAACTTGATTAAAAATATTAGTGTTAACATCTAGACTGTAGGTAGTGGAGCCGAATAGAAGACAGTTTATGTTTTTAAAATCATATTGTAGTTTGTCTAGGGTTTCTGTTCGTGCATTTGAATGTAAAGAGCATCGCAGAAGGTAATGTTCGGGATGTATTATTTAAATATATATATACCTTTTAAACGGCAAAACATTCTACATTTACAAGCAGAGTCATGTCATGGCGTTCTAAAATTGTGACCAATCAAATTATTTATTTCTGCTTAACCTATCTCTATGGACAGCTACTTAGCCTAAGCTGAAAATGTTCATCGAACGAATATCCACTCCATATTTAAACATCTCAATTAGATGCAATATTATTGTGTCACAAAATCTTAATCAATCAAATGCTCATCATCAAACTCTGTCGAGGCATTCGCCTAATGAACATCTACACCCGTTTTAATATTTTACCTCAATCAGAAGCAGAGCCATTTTGCCCCAAAACATGTGACATACAGACAGGTCGACAGACAGACGAACGAACCCATTTTAATAGTCCCAACTTTGGAACAAGTAACTATTCAAGAGACGAACTTACTTCTTGTATGGGGTTGAATTCCGGATCATTATGATTTCTAAGGAACCACAAAACACCCGGTCGTAGAACCTCTCTTAGTAGGAGAATAAAGGAAGCAAAATAAAAAACATAAACCATTCCAACTAGCCAATGTATAAACATGGATGTTCCTGGTGCCAGATGGAAACTTGTCTTTCTATCTTTCAACATGGCATCAAACATCGACTGAAATAAAACAAACAATATCTAATATAAACACCTAATTTTGCATCAGTTATCTGAAAATTAATACACAATCACTTTGGTAGTTGTGAATTTAAATTTGTCTATATGGTGATAAAGTAAATTATCGTGGGTTTTTCCAATCGTATATTGGTATCATTAGATGCCACAAGTTTTTAATTAACAGCATAGATAGCAATGCCAATAACCTGACAGAAATATCATTATTATGTCCCTTGAAGTCTAATAACTTTATACTTACTAATGAACAAATATCCAGCCACCAGCCACATATCAATGGGAAAAATCCTATTTCAACCACCACCAGTAGTTTGACCTTTACCACAACATAACATAACCCTAATACTCTCCGAAATCTAAAAACAAGACAAACCATTGTATTAATTTAACCATGATGTATTTAAGACATTTTTAAATAATTCTTTTAAATGCCTTCTGGGGACTTTATGTAAGAAACAAAGTAAATAAATAAATTTGATTGAGTTTAATCAATGTCCCTGACTATATATGGTACCCAGAAGTGATAAGCACTGGTAATGCTTTCTATCCCTATATTCTATATGTAATGGGCATTAGATGACTCATTATCTCCTTTGACATGTCTCTTTTATACTACAATTCTATTTATAGTAATGGCATACATGTATGTACGATTCCAAAGGTTTCTAACAATTTTGAATCAATGACGGTACGAAAATAGCCCATGATTTAAAAAAAAAATCTGATAAATTTTTGGTGGGTGGTCTGAATTCGAACTACTCAACGATTATGAATGTCAATGCGAAGATTATTATAGACTAAATGATGGAGACTAGTAACTTGTTGCTGCTCTATTTATAACCCTTTTAAATATAATTCTCCATTTATATTATACTTACTTTTTTAATTTAGCCAATGAACAGAGTAGATATAGTATAAGTAATGCAATACCAATAACAACATAACCTGATATTGTTGTTAATAAACCTTCAAAATGCGATGCAGTTACCTGTAAAATGGAAATAAAATTTATCCAATATTTAAGCATACAGCTAATATCAATTTTTTTTATATCATTATGAATGTTTAAACACTAAGTTACAATTTGGAATTATGAAGACATTAAAAAAAAAGTTGGTGATAGAAAAAAGAAAGAAGAAAATAAGAAAGAAGAAATATGACAAAAAGAAACTTACAATATCATCAATTTTGCATCCAACCAACGTAAAATGGCCAATATGATATGGACAAAAAGCTGAAAGAGAATAAAAATACCCATATATATATATTTCTTTGAGAATTGGTATATGTTATATTAAGCAATGAATGATAATCTTTATTTTAGAAATATAAACTGAAACTTACCAAAAACTAATATAAATAATGTGTTGAGTGAAACAACCCAGAAGACATGCTCTAGAAATACTAAAGATCCGTCTAAACCAAGTAACTGAAAAAAAACCAATGTAAACCAATTCACTGATATATTGATATTCACCTGTAAGAAACGATGGAAGACAAATGTTGAATACCTATTATCAACTTAAGTTAATTTTTGACTATGATTATCAGTCTTGAGGAGATTACACATACAATACATGTACCTGCACTGCACTTATTTGGCACTGTTCTAGGGTAATAGATTCTTTTAACTTACTAAAGCTAATTAAACTTACTCTCTCCCATGTTAATTCTTCTGCAGCTCTATCCCATTCTATTGGATTCCAATTAATATCATCTGCAATACAGGTAAACTGTGATTGTATTTTTATTATCATAATTATAACTTGGACTATGAACTTTCAATTATCTTAACTGGATGAATCTTCTCACTTCACATTCACATTAATTTAAGCACAATATCTTGTTATATGTAAACGGCATTGATATTAACCATGGATGCCATTGTAATCCAAATGCTTTGTACTGTGTTTATGTTTGACTAGTAATAGTACTGCACTGTTTAAGAGGCTAACAACAAATAAATTTAGATTTCAAACTAATCATCATTGAACATACCTTGAGCAGCATTATTTTCATTATTTCCTCCATCATTACCATCTGCCCCTTCCTCACCCTCTATCTCTTCTTCTACCTCATTGGCTGGTTGGTTATTTTGATCATTTTGATTGACTTGACCTCTATTACCACCTCCAGCAATTCCACCAATAAAATTATTGACAGGGTTACCATCAAGAAAATTCTAAAAAGAATAAAATAGCATAATTTAGAGACATCAAAATTAATCATATTATATGAATGTAATTTTGTATCTTCATTTTGATAGCAAAGAAATTTCAATTGAATAGCTGTCTATGGAATGGCTCTATCTATAGATATAAAATTTTCAACAAAAGACAGACTGTATCCCACAAAAAAAATCAACATCTAAATTCAATAGACATTCTTTTTTTTTTGGGGGGGGGGGGCTTAAATCAAAGAAGTTTAGTTCTTCCACTCTGACTTTTCTTTATTCAATAACAGTCAGACTAAATTTTCATTACCCTTTGTTGATTAGCTTGTTGATTATCCTGTTCCAACCAATCAGGACCCCCACCATGTAATATCTGTTCTCGTAACCAGACCAGACTAATAAATGCACACAGCGTACATGTGACAACAAAACAGCCTTGAAAACAATCAGACGCTAAATTTTCTCTGTGGAAAAAAAGTACAGTTAATAAATAATAATGATGGAAGTAAAATACTATTGTTAAAATATTAGATAACTTAATAATAAATATAACTTAGATACAATAACATCTCTTTTTTTTATTATCTTATCTACAGTATCTTATCTACATTTTCTACAAGTTCCATGTTAAGTGTATCATCATACATATATCTTGGACAAAATATCAAAATATTGTATAACTCATTGATCTGTTTTGCCTGTATAGTTACATTTTTCAGACACCAGGTAGAAGGTGGCATGGTCTACTGTTTATTTAGGTTATATGAAATTGGTGTGTTTATCAATCTAAAAACATGATTCAAAATCTTTGTTTTAGCTGGGTTGTTTTGTTTCTTCCAGAAGACATCAAGACATGCAGTGGACTCTCTCAATTTCGACATTGTACGAGATCGATAGAACATGCCGGATTACACACAATGTCGGAATACTCAATTGCCTTAATACCGGAAGTATTATTGTACATTTGAATAAGGAAGTATTCAATCTGATTAAAACACAGATCCTATTTCGTTTCGTTTTTTATAGTTTAAAATTTCATTTTACTTGTCTTTACTACACTAGGATCTGGAAGAGTTGTTATAGAACCCGCATTCTCGTTTATGTGAGGGATTAGCCAATGGAAAGGTCTGTTACGCCGAGTTTTGGACGTGAGGTGCACAGAACTGTGGGTAACCCAGTAGAAACATCAACGCTGGTTGGATAATCAAATGCCTGACTTCATAGGGTCAAAAGCCGCTCGTATGACCTCTTACGCAACCTTCCACTACAACCAGTCAGATCTTCATGTATTAGAGGCCATCGAAAGTATAAAAAAAAAACAGAACGAAATATAGATCTGTATTGTAATCAGATTGGGAAGTATTATTAAAATGCACCCTCGAATACCTAGAACTTAAAATATAACGCTTTCTGTACATTCTGTACGATCACACATTATGAACACAATTTTATAACGATAGTGATTCTTCATCTCAGCAATATATATATGACATTATAAAATTATCAAGGTAATCAACAAAGATCAACACATGTTTTATGCTCACAGATAATTGATTTCTGATTGCTTTTTGGTTAACACCCACTGATTGAAGGCCGGGTTATCCAATGTTAATAAATGATGATATCAAATTTGTTTTTCACCTTCTAAAGTCTTCTCAAAACAGTTATATTTTCATTATTGATATTAAGTGTTTAGATCTGATAAGATAGTAAAACTTACGTTGATAACATGTCTAATGGTAAAGTCAATAGAGAACTAACACTTCCAGTAAACAAACATCTATAGATTCGACCTGTAAATAAAACAAAGCCAATTCAGTTTTCACATAGAATGTTGGAGAGTTTACGAATTCAGTAATTCAGTGGTTATAAGTATTATGAATATTTTGTAGTTTATTAAATTACTTGTTGAATACAAGAAGAAAATGTTGTTTTAAAGGGAGCAAACTAAGTACATGTACTTTAATAGAGAGTCCATTAATAATCCATTAGTAAGACGTGATAAACCTGTTATTTGATAACACACACAAGCATATAAACAGGTTGGTTTTGAAATGCCTTATTCATACCAGGAAAACCTAAAACTGATAGCAAGTTTCCTTAAACCTACTCCTACATATCCCTGATGAAGAATATTTACAGACTTCTTATCCAAAATGTGATAAAAATCATTCAGACTTTTCAATTTAAAAACAAATAATCTTTTTTCAATACACCTTTTTCAGACAAAGTTGAAAGTAGAAATAAAACATGGTTTTGAAATCATTATTCTATAAATTGTGCCTTTTAGTGCATATATTTACTGAAATCTGAAATAAATATATTGTGTTTTGGAAAAGAGTCCATTCATATTCATATGGTACACAAATGCCAATCTAGAATTTTAATAGTACTAACACGCTGTTAAAGGGACAACCCCTAGCCAGGCAAAGGCTACTAATGTATAATGGAACCAATATCGAACAGCTCTGGCCATACTTGTCACCAGGCCACTACAGATGTCTTTGATGGGCAGCCGCTTCGGCATGTCTGGTGAATAAACTGTGAAAAAAAAATCAAACAAAATGATTATCATCTGTCTCAAACTTGACAATGAACAACTTGAAACACACATTTGATTATTTATTTTATTGGTTTTGTATTCTTTGACAGTATCAATAGGCTACAAATCTTTACTATTAAAGCTACATGTACACTGTATGGTAGACGTAGGTTAAAGACAATAGAATCACAATTAGACTGGAATCCTGGATGGGTGAAGAAGACCCTTAAATATCTTTAAGTCTTGCCCACACACAAGTATGTATAGTATGACCATTTGGATAGTACGCAAATCAGAGGGAACAAAACATTTCCCCACCCTAGCAATTATCTCGCCTGCATTGTACACTTAACTGTGGAGAATAAATTAACTTGGTTTGTTTTCATTTAACAGTATTGTGTCAATATAAGGCATTAAACAATATTCTCAAAGTTAGTAATAATAAAATTCTAAATTTACTTGGAGTAAATGCAAATCTGTGCTTGCATAATTCACAATATTCTTTACGACTGTATGTCAACCACTGAAGAAGACTGTAAAATTAATAAATAAAAAAAAAATCTTAATATTATATTATCAATGTCTATGTATACATTTCAGTACTATTAAATAGTTTTCAAAATCATCACAAATGATAATGCTAAAAGACAAGTTTGGTATCATTTAATGTAAATAAGATTTTCACACTCATTGATCAGTTAGTGATTATCATTACACAGGTGTAATAGTATTAGTCATGTCATAACATTTGACAGTCTTTGCTATTTAAGCTGATCATGATCAGGTACGGTACATGTACTTACCAATCTTGGTGAATAAATTTGATACTTCCAGTACAAACACATGGATGATACAGAGCCTTGTCTGGGGTGCCTTCACAGCGACACACCCGACATATATCTGATAATAAAAAGGAGAAAATTGCAAAACTTATACATGTATTTAGTGACTAAGGGCCTACTGGTAAGAACCTGTGCACTACCCATGTACATGTACATCATCACTTACTTACATGAGCAGTGAACATCCATGTTAAGGTAAGGTATAATGTTAGAGTAAGCTTCTGGATGATTGTTGAGATTTAGGAAGCCCATAATTCAATTTTCCAATTACCAGCATATTTACACATGAAGATGTGACTACTAAAAGAGAGGGAGAGAGAGATATGGGGTTTAACGTCCACTCGATACAAACTAGGTATGTTGGGACTAACATATGGTTTAATTTTTTTTCAATAATTCGCTTGCGCATAGGCATCTTTAGCAGTGGGAGGAAACCGGAGGGCCAGGAGAAAAACTTAACTGCACACGTAAAAACATGAATTACCCACGTCGCACACAAGTTCTGTCCCCTTAAGAGCACCACTATTCTCTATTAAAATCTTAGTTGTCATTACTAGGAAAATGTTTGTTGAAATATATTGTAATGCACGAAAACAGTATGACTGTAATTTATGATAAATTATGATGGTACGGATTTGTTACCGGAACAGCTGTTTTCCTGGAGATGTTTTTCAAAAACAATAGATTTCAACAGCAGTTATCGAATAGTGGTAGTAATGATGGATATTGTAAACTTTATTATAACATTTATAAAAATTACATATTAGCAATGAGCGGGGTTATAGGCTTTAAAGTTAAACTGAACAAATCATTCAGTGTTGTTTATCAATCTATCATTTGAGAACTTTAGAATCCCAAAGGCCTGGCCATGACGGTACATTGTAAATCATTGGTAATACGCCTAGGTCAGCAGTCATTATCATATATTTGTAAATTTATACAGACCAAGACAAGAACATGTAGCAATCAAAACTTCAAATATGTATATAGAAATGAAAGGTAAAAAATAAACCATTATTAATATTTTCTGAAATCTACAATGAAATGTCATAAATTTAAAGCATCAAACTTTATTATATGACAGTCGTAGCAAACATGATTGATTAAGCAATACGAACATGATAGATATCGGGAAAAAAAACATTTTGATGGTAGCAACCTTATACACATTGTGGCTCTACAAAATCAAAGCTGATGATGAAAAACAAAACATTTGATGCCAGCTATGCTCAGCTACACTGTCTTTGTTTCAATCTCAATTCCCTAACTTATAAAATCCCCATCTAGTAGTTACATGTAAGTGACTATCTTAGGCTCAAGATATCCTTTGAATACGGACCCTGGTCTAGAATCGGATATGCATTCCTACTGGGTGTCATTTAGATACTTAATTCTACTGAGGAACTTTTTTCTGCTCATGGTCAAGGAGATGTGAAAAATACATGGTGATGTGAAAAATACTCTATCAGATCATAGATGTCTCAAGGTATATTTCTAAAGTATATTGATAACATCCTAAACTTGCTAGAGCTGTACTTGTGTACACCACATTGTTTATCACCATAAAGAAAAGCAACAGCTGTCAAAATTTTGATCGCAATTGTCATTTTGGATCCAAATATGGTGGTGATCTGTAATGTACAGTCTGGCTCTAGCTAGTTAAGGAATTTTCATGTTCAGTTTTGTGATTAAAAAACATAAACAAAAGTCTTAAAAAGTGCAAGCGCGAGTCTCATAATGGCCGGCCAATTCAACCATATTTTCTTATGTTTTTGAATCGCAAAATTTTACAACAAAATAGTGTTGGATTACCACGAGGCTATAACATAAATTTGTATCCGATAGGCTACATCTCTACATTTGTATGTGGTGCATCCTCGGTATCCCCAGTGTTTTCATTCCGTTCTACTCGACTAACCCCTGGTTTAAGGGGTAGTATTTAATTCACATCCATTCATTCATTTGCTGAACTGACCGCATGGGCCTCGATAATGTTATGTTTATAGATGGATTATCTCATTACTATTATTTACTCTAATCTCTGTCATAGCTGACCATAGTTAACTTACTATAGATAATCCATCTTGGGAGCCAAGTTGTGGAGTACGTCTACTCCCTAATATTGGGTGAATGGCTGTGTTAATTACTACCTGGTCAGAGAATTCCAAATTATTCTAAATGCGTATTTATTAACAACAAACTATATAATTAATATTATATTAATGAAGAATGGACGTTTATACATATGTACATGTATGTTCAAGAGTTTTATTGAGAATCGTTTGTTAGTACCAGAATTTTATGTCCACGTGATAACAAGTTATTGTGAATCAAATTGCCAAGTATAAGTTCAATAATAATAAACATAACAGAATGAAACATTTCAGACTAAGAATGAATAGTAATAATAATTAATAATAACCAAACATATAGATGTTATATACATATTGCTTACTTAAATTTCGTTTTGTCATATATGACCGAGTTACGTAAATTTATGTGTTACCCTATATTTAGATTTCAATGGCGTCTGCAAAGCTGTTTAGTAGAAGGGGACGTATTCTTAACAGCATGTTGTGTCCCACATACTGACTATAGCGAGGAAAGAAAGGTCTTGTTTTCTCACTAAAATGTTCCTGTAGTGCCTTTACATTGATTGTACAGGCGTTCACGGGGACTGACACGCAACCGTTTAGCAGTTAAAAAGTTGCCCAGTAAGAAATTTTTTGACAAGGAATCAATAGGTCGGTTCCTGAATGTACAGGGCGAGTATAACGAGTACCTACGTTCAGAGCTGAACTAGTAGATGAGACACTGCCGGGACCTCTTCTCTATGAATACTATAACTATGATGAGTAGGAGTATGATATGAATTCTATATTATTAAAATTAAGTGCCTGTGTTTTAAACCTTGTTTACTATATAATATGCATTAATCATTCTCTCAAATGTTTTATTCGGTATCCTGCATTATTTTGTCTCAAATGTTACGTTTCATTCGCCGTTTTTTCCAGAAATTTTATCCGACCGTGTCTTTGAGTTTGACTAAGTTCATTCAGTCTGCACTGATGGTTTTCTGTGTGGGGTTTGGGACAGGTTATGGTTGTAATGCGACTAGGAAAACATCTTTTCAGTGTTTCCTAATTTTGAAACACAGGTATTTATCCTACTGCATCAGAAAATAGAAAATAAAATGACACAGAATGGTAGATATCTATTGTTTTGGTCAAAGAAAAATTCTACCTGGCTGTCCCGTGTCATCCATATTGAATTAGTGCAATTATGTCGTAAAATTTTTAGTGTCGTAAAAAGCAATATTTCTTACACAAGAACCTTTAGTTTCTCAAGTATAAATTACGTGCCATAATAAAAACCATATCTATTTGGATGAGTTGTAAAAAGACAATGAAATTATCTCCTGACCTTAACCCTAAAATTACGACAACTGATTTGTAGTGATAAGAACGCTTTCTGGTACACAGATGGAAACGAAAGTTGAAAAAAGAAAACAAACCAAGAAAGAGGGATACAAACTGCTGACTTTTTAAAAATTGGTTCACAACAACATGTATGTTATAATTATTCAGTTACGGTGGATACATTGTTAACAGTAAAATGCAAATGGGTTCATTTCGTATTATTCGTCTAAGATAAGTTACAGTACTGGCTACTCAGCTATTGTCTGAGTCTTGGTAAATTTTAAACGGATTTCTTCGATTATGAACAAACTACTTAACTTTGGTTATTATAAACTTACCTGTGTGTTTGTAATCAACTCCCGTTCGATAAAATCCATTGCACAACTAATTATCACAACGATGAAAACAAGTTCTCTCTTGAAAAATTGAAATATCACAAACGTTTCCCAAAGAAAAATACCAATATGGAAGATGGTTACGTCGCTCTGCGGAAGATATCAGCGGAAGATATCATTTCGTATTAGGGGTGACAGCATAGGAAATTCAAGTACAATTACGACAAGAATCCATGACCACTCGGACCAAAGACCACTCGGTTCAAGACCAGTCAGACCAACTGATAGACCACTCAGCCCAAACAAATAGACTACTCGGACCATACAAAAAGACTATTCGGACCCAACAGAAAGACGACTCGGACCAATAATAAAGTGTTGTTTTAATAAATTGATAATTGCGTTTGTTTTAATATGATTACTCGAACCAATAATAAAGTGTTATTTTAATAAATTGATAATTGTGTTTATTTTAATATGACTACTCGAACCAATAATAAAGTGTTATTTGAATAAATTGATAATTGTGTGTGTTTTAATATGACTACTCGAACTAATAATAATGTGTTGTTTGAATAAATTGATAATTGTATCCCAAATCGCAAAATATCGAGAACCACACTTGTAGTCACGTTTAAAAAGGGGCATATAAACGTCCGGTCTTCGTATTATTATGTGCTGTTTATATTAACGCATCAAGGGCGGATAACTTGAAAACGTGTCTCACCCCCCCCCCCCCCCCCCCATATATAGTAACCCAGGGGTTAGTTGGGTAGAACGGAATGAAACCACTGGGGATACCGCGAATGTGGAAAAAGTAAAATTAGGCTATCAGACAAGAACAGTATACCCGTATATGCAGAAACTGTCAAAAGTCTGGACATACCGAGTCTCATTGCAGGAGTAAATAAGAAAAACTAGATTGATATTTTTTTTTGGCACCATTATTAATTAATTTTAAAACTAATCGTTGATTTATTTTCCGTACACAAAATTGAACTAAATATAAGAATTCCGTATAAGAATTATTTGCTTCTTTGTATTGTGATTTAATAATAAATAAATAGCATATTGTCTAGCCTTATAATATAATTGTCCCCCGCCTTTCGAAGAAAGCAGGGGACTATTAAAATGGGTTCGTCCGTCTGTCTGTCTGTCTGTCCGTCTGTCTGTCCGTCTGTCCGTCCGTCCGTCTGTCCGTCCGTCTGTCCGTCTGTCTGTCCGTCTGTCTGTCCGTCACACTTTTTGGGACACAATAACTCTCTTCCTAATTGAGCTAGAATGTTCAAACTTGGTGTATGTGTTTATTAGGTCAATGCCTTGATGGAGTTCGAAGATGAGCATTTTCCGCTTAGGGTAAGCAGAGATAAGCAATTTGATTGGTTGATGCTTTGGGACACGATAACTCTCTTCCTAATTGGGCTAGAATGTTCAAACTTGGTGTATGTGTTGATTAGGTCAATGCCTTGATGGAGTTCAAAGATGAGCATTTTCCGCTTAGGGTAAGCAGAGATAAGCAATTTGATTGGTTGATGCTTTGGGACACGATAACTTTTAATTGAGCTAGAATGTTCAAACTTGGTGTATGTGTTTATTAGGTCAATGCCTTGATGGAGTTCGAAGATGAGCATTTTCCGCTTAGGGTAAGCAGAGATAAGCAATTTGATTGGTTGATACTTTGGGGCACGATAACTCTCTTCCTAATTGAGCTAGAATGTTCAAACTTGGTGTATGTGTTGATTAGGTCAATGCCTTGATGGAGTTCGAAGATGAGCATTTTCCGCTTAGGGTAAGCAGAGATAAGCAATTTGATTAGATGAGCATTTTCCGCTTAGGGTAAGCAGAGATAAGCAATTTGATTGGTTGATACTTTGGGGCACGATAACTCTCTTCCTAATTGAGCTAGAATGTTCAAACTTGGTGTATGTGTTGATTAGGTCAATGCCTTGTTGATTGATGCTTTAGGACAAGATAACTTTGATAGAGAGTGATGAAACTTAAGTGTATAGTTGATAATCAGTTTGATTGCTTGATACTTTAAAAAAAATAAATGTGCGATAAATTAATGTGTCATCTATTTATTTTGGTATTTTGGCGGGGGACATCAGCCTCACTGTTGGCTTGTTTAATTGGTCCGACTGGTCTTGTTTTGGTCCGAGTAGTCTTTGGTCCGAGTGGTCTGGATACCTACGACAATTGGCATTGAGTTTGAGCGTTCGCACACATAACTACCCGCATTCCTGTATTTAGTTACCGTCTTTTACATTCTAGTAAAATCTCTGCAAATTTTATAGCTTTACTTTTTGAAATATTTTGTTCTAATTATTTGATTAGCGACTCGGATGGGATAATTTACTTTTGAACACGCATGCCGCACAAACACAACTATACATTCGTTTTACGGGCTTTATCACACTTCGGTCAAAACTGTCGAATCGAGAATTAATGTTCCGCTTCTTACGGGGTCATACGGGCTTAGTAGCATTATATACCCACCCGGGCACCCAATAGGCACGCTGAGGGCTGCCGCAACATGCTTAAAGATGTTACTGAAGCGGTTATTATTCGATCGAAAGAATGCGTATAAAATTAAAAATACACTCGGAGAATTCGGAGGTAAGCTTCATGATCCTTGTTAAATTATTTGTAACATAAAGAAGATAGGATATTTATAGTTTATACATGACTTTATTTTTACGAGTATCCGTGCAATCAGTGATATTTTAATTGTGAAGAAAATTTGATAGACTGGCGATCAATGGTTTCCATATAAATCTCCTATGTAATTGCCTTCAATTGATATTTTTCGTCGCCCAAACCCATATACGATCAAAATGATCGCGCTGTCAAACTATCTTTCAATGTTAACCAACCCCCGCAACAGGTATATTGGAATCGACCAATACGTCACGAAGACATTGTTGACATCGACTCTGTCGAAATTACAAGTAAATTTTCAAATTTTTCAAGAGAGAAATTGTTCTCATCGTTGTGATAATTAGTTGTGCAATTGATTTTATCGAACGGGAGTTCATTACAAACACACAGGTAAGTTTATAATAACCAAAGTTAAGTAGTTTGTTCATAATCGAAGAAATCCGTTTAAAATTTACGATGGTTCACACAGTAGTAGTACTACTCAGCTACTGAGCTAGATAATTCTTATCTCTCAACCCTCCGTGTTTCGAGATAAGAAATGGAGTTATTAACGTCAACGGAGCACATGCGGGAGCGATTCGCACCCGGCATTTGTAAACAAAATTGAGAATATTTTTAATCAAAACAACGTTTGATTATTCTATTGTTATTTATAATATTTCTGCCACATCCAACTACAATTAAGCATATAATCCTACCTGAAACGGGTACAAATCCCCTCTTTTTAAAGTAGCTAAGTCTCTAACTCAATATCATCCAAAATCTACAACATTGAAAACACGATTTATTTGTCAAATTAAATCAACATTCATGTTGTGATCTTACCGGAAAAAGATGGGCTTTTGATATCCAACATTTAAGACAAAATAAACATTTTACCAGTCCATTGCCATTGGTACACGAATCGTGTACCATAATGCGCTTCAGCCCCAGTTGTATCAAGAGACTCGAGGGACGAGGCTAGACACATTGCACCAAATCAAACGGCGTATGTAGACTGGAATAACCAGACGCTAGAAATTTGCACTCGCTTGAGACTGCTGGCTTATTTCGCCGAACATAACTGATTTTGAAATTGGAGTAAAAACGGAAACCATTGAATGTAAATCAGTTTATATACATTCATATTACAGTATTATATGCGTTGAGACCCACTTTTGTCAATTTCTAGGTCCCAAATGTTAGCGATTTAGCTCCTTTAAATCAAAGCGACAGTAGATTGCTTTTTCCAACATTTTAAATTTACGTCTGTAACACATAAAGGCGGGGCCTCGTGTGCAATAGACAATCAAAGTACTAATCTGATCAGAGTTGCGCAGTAGTAATACGCCGTAATTATGAACATCTGAATCAATTTTGATAAAAACAACGCTTGATTTACTTTAGGCCTATTGCCAATATTTGCTGATAAATGAATGTTGTTTCAGTAGTTTGGGCTGTGTATGTGTAATAAGTACTAATAGTATAAAATTAACTTACTTTTAAGATGGTACATGCATTAATAAAGAAATTGAGTTTGCAATTGGAATTAAAGGAATCCAGTCGTAGCTAAAAACAAGCACATCAGTATATCTCAGCGTTTTTAGTTACGTTCTCGTAGCTACTACTCAGCTAGTTCAGCTCTGAACGTAGGTCTCATTATCCTCATCCTACGTTCAGGAACCGCCCTACCCAGCTACTGAATCCTTGTCGAAAAACTTTTGAACCCCAGTTAATTTTACTTGGCAACTTTTTACTGCTAAACGGTCACCTGTTAATTCCTACATTGTATGAATGCCAGTACAATGTAAAAGAACATTTAAAGATGGGTTCCCAGAAAAATATTTATGAGGTGGTTATTTCCAATAAAAGTATGGCAATTTTGGTATATATGGAAAGTAGAGATATCCAATCTTACTAGAAAAATACTGGATTTCCCGAAAAACACTCATGGAGCATATACAGGACAAAAATGTAAGGGTTCCCCTAATCGACAGCCCAATGATTAGGAATTTCTGCACGTGTGATGTCAAAGGTCACACACGAACATTGAGCGCTTGATGTACAAGTTGATAAACTTTATGAAGAGTTAGACGTACAACACTTTCTGAGATAAAAAATGACGGAAAAGACGCGGGTAGTGGATAATCCGAGAATTTAATAAGGATTCAATATATGTAATAAATAGTAAGCGATTAAAGACAACATCGCCTCGTGTATGCAATGAATTCTCCTCTGACTTCTGAGAGAGGTAAGTCACGTGGCGTAAACATGACCTGGTTTGATCGAATTTTTATAGCAGGGCATTCCTTGGCAATTACAATGTTTGAGAAGGATTTGAAGCAAAATTATGACAAATTAATTAGTTTGAATATGTTTTTAGTCCATATATACCATTAAATCACCCAGTTTGTACACAGGAATGTATCTTTAAGTGAGAAAATAAGACCTTGCTTACCTCGCAAGAGTCTGTATGCGTGACACAACATGCTGTTAAAAACACGTCCCCTTCTGCTAAAGAGCTTGGCAGAAGAAGCCATTAAAATCTAAATATAGGGTAACACACAAAGTTACGTAACTCGGCCATATATGACAAAACGGAAGTTTCTGTTTTGTCTGTAATTTCTAATCAATTATGTTCAGCAAAATACGCAAAGAGTGCAAATTGAATGGCAATCTTGGCGTCTGGTTATTCCAGTCTACTCTGGTAGTCTTCCCTTGTGGGATATGTTTAGCCTTGTTCATCTAGTCACTTCATTACAAACGCTGCTTGAAAGTATTCTGGCATGCGATTTGTGTGCCAGGTTTAAAATTTTCACTGTGTCTTAAATATTGGATACCAGAAGCCCATCTTTTCACGGTAAGATAACAATATCAATGTTAATTTAAATTGACCAACAAGTCGTGTTTGCAATGTTGAAGACTATTGATGATACTGAGTTAAAGACTTAGCTACTTTAAACTCATCTACATCAGCTCATATTTGTCCAACCTGAAAGGCAATTTATTTGAAGAGAGTAATGGTAGTTCTTGTGTTTAAAGACAGCAATTGACCTGTGGTATAGCTGTGGCTATTTCTTACCTATTATATAGGGGTGTGAGCTAATCTATGTTTAATAACTTTTAAAGCATACAATTGGGTTTTCTGTACCATTCTTTTCGTTGTGACACAAAAATGCAAGACATATTTTATTTCTATATTTCCTTTTAGCTTGCATAATGATAATGCAACAAAGTCAATATTATTCCTAGAAGTATTTGGTGGAAGAACATAATTATTTCGTCATGTCTGCTGATGACCCGCAGTCATTGGCAATAGCCAGAGAATTAACAAGAGAGTTGAATTTAGCTAATTCAAATCAGCAACAAGCACAGTGGGCACATGAAGCCTTAGCTCAGGTATAGCTACTAATTTATGTCAGAATTGAATATGGGTAGAACCATCATCTAACTTCAAAGGGTCTTGATTTACTTTTGCAATATATGTGCATTTAGCCTATTAATGTTATATTTGAAGATAAAAGTTTTATTTTGTTTCATTCTTATCTGCTCTCTTAAATTGTAAATCAAAATGATATCTATTGATAGAAAACTGAAAATGGAGTAAGCTATAAAACTTGTAAGGCCAAATCAATTTAACTGATAAATAAATAGCCTCTTAAGTCTTGTGAAGAATGTTTTGTTTAAAATCTCAAAACTTAAAAGATTGAATAAAAGTCTTGTCATAAATGCAACCAAGTACGTTTCACCCAGCGTACATGTAAATATAAGAAGCAAATATTTTAGTAGGTGTTCTCAAAAAAAAACCCCTGTAATTTGTGTGGTCTAAAAGACATTTTATTTTTCAAATTTCTGTTAATTTTTATATTTACACAATGGAAAATAGATATACATGTATATTTGAATGATTGTTAACTATTCATTTAAATGAATGCATGTGCTATACATGGATTTTATTTGTATTTGTTTATGATTATTTTAAGGTTCAAGTCAGAGTATTTAAAGAACATAATGATGTAGTTAACAGTTGTCAATTTTTTAAGAAGGATATGATATTAACAGCATCAAATGATCAAAGTGTAAAAATCTGGGGTTCTGATACAGGGGAAGTACAGAAATCATTTGATGGTATCCATAGTGTGGCTGTTAATGAAGCTAGATTATCAAATGAAGATCAGACTAAGTAATTCCATGTATATTTTTTTGTATTTCATTGAAATATCTTGGTGTACTTTCTTGAAATTATTGAAGGAAATGTTACCCAAAATGTTTAGTTACAAAAGTAGGATATAAAACTTTTTAAGATTTGTAAACATGGCACAATATAAAAATAAGAATACACACTGTTCTCTTTCAAATTCAATTCTCTTTGATTCAGGTTGAATTAAAGTATTGAATTGCTTTGATCTGATGTGTTATTTTTATTAATAATGAGCAAGCTGTGTATAGGATTAAATTTTGTTTTAAAAGATTAAGCAAAAATTGGTTTGTTTACTAATGTTAGTTTAATTTTTGGCTTACTGTGTCAACGGTGGAATACAAAACTCTGTTATATTCCAAATCAATGAGAAAATTCATTTCATCCCACAAACAAAGAAACATACAGAATCCATTGAACATGACAATTTTATTTTTTACCCAAATCACAGATATCTTGTCAATATAATATTCAAATACTGTTTCATTAAGGGGGGTTGGATGGCTGAATGGTTTGCGCGTGCGCGTTGTATCATAACATCTGTCATTGAATCAACTTGCATGGTTTTGATTCCCCGGTTGTACTGACAAGGAGTAGGGTGGCCTGTCAAACCTCGTGAGTTTTCTCCAGGTCCTCCTGTTTTCTCCCTCTGCTAAAGACCCATACGCACAAGTGAATTATTGAAATAAAATTGAACCATATGTTAGTCCCAAAATGACCTGATTTGTGTAGAGTGGCCGTTAAACCCTCTCTCTCCCTTTCTCTTGCATTAAGTTTTTTTTAAATTTTTTTTATTAGATTTGTAAGCTGTGGTTGGGATAAGATTGTTAAAGTTACCGATATAGAAACAGCAGAAACTTTGGTAAACTATGAAATAATTGATTTTATTTAATATCAGTTTGTACATTATTGAATTTATTTTGATAAAAATTCCCGTTCCTGTTAAAGTTTCTTGTATTTCTTGTACTAATGAAAAGCTAAAAAAAACCCCGAGGTAACCAGTTTCAAGATAATATTTCTCTCTTTAGACTAAGATTATTTGTAAACCCTGTCTGTGCAAACCTAAGTAGAATGGGTGGATGGGTAGATTAATGCATGCAGTGGTGGCCATGCACTGTAAATCTTAAGCCTGTTCTCTATGTAAGTCATGGGATCAACCCTGGAAATATAAGTGAGAAGGAGTAGAGTTTTTCAAATAGCAAATTTTTGAAATAGAAATATGTTAGTCCCGAATGATCTTATTACCGCCAACTAGAAGTTAAATCTAATTTTAAGGTCAATGGATATAAACAAAACAAATTTGACTACCAGTTTATTTGACATCCTCAATGATTGCTACCTTGAGGCTATATTTGAATGAAATGAAGTCTTTTAATTGTTTTTTCTGTTTTACTTTATATAGTGGAGTGGTAGTCATGAAGGTGTTATTACATGTTGTAAGTTTTCACATAATGGTAAATATGTGGCATCAGGCTCAGATATGGACAACAGATTACAAATATGGAATGCTAAAACTGGAGAGGTGATCTTTAATCTCAAAGGTATTTCTTTCTCCTGAAGCCTTTGGAACATCTGGTGTATGTATGTGTACATGTGTTGGATTTTAAAAAAGGGTTGGCTGTGAAATGCAGCTGTTTAGACATTATGCCCTCTCCCCACATATCCATTGCCAACATGAGCACCGTAAGTTAAACTGGTGAATACAATGTTCAAGGTGCATTTAGATACAGAACTGGTCATCTTGCTATAATAGTTCAAAAACGATAATGCAAAATGAATATATTGAAAATTTCATTCAAATTAATTTATTCTGAGCAAAGTTATCACTGTTTGTATTTTTTAAAATTAAATCCTTAAATGGCCAAAGCATTCTAATTTACTTAAAATTGGAACCATCCAATGATCTAGAGAGTTGATTATAGGCTTTTCGTATTAAAGCACAAATTAAGACTTGGTATGAGTTATGTAAAAAATTTCAGCATAAAACACCACCTTGTTCAACTGTATCTGTTAATTGCTTTTATCTATAATATATATTCTATTGTTGTGTCTTTTAGACTACCATGCTAGTACAATAACAAGTATATTGTTTTCACCTGAAGATGATAAAGTTATAACTACGTCTATGGACAGAACAACCAAATTCTTTGATTTGAAATCTTGCAAGAATACCATTAAATTAGAGTATGTATTCATTTAGCCCATTGGGTTTATACTGTCACTTATATCTGTCTGTCTGGCATCAAATAACTTTTAAATTGAACCACAGAATGAAATTTAAATTTGATTTCTTTGTAAACATTATCACATTATAGTAATTCAAGAATAAGAAAGAACTGGTAGGCCGGGCGTAGTAGCTGAGAGATTTAGTTGTAGGGGCAATGCAGTGGTACTTAAAAAGACAAACGAATCGCACATTTTGTTTTAATTCTAATTTTTAGTTTGTACAAAGATTGTTAATTTTGGAATCATATTATCAGTTATTTTCTCATTTTTTAATTGTATTCATTCATATTCTTATAACAGAAGGCCTGTTGTTTTGGTTTCATTTGTAGGGTAACTCAGTGTCTCCTCCAAATGTAAGAAAAGTGTCGGTCCGTTGAAAATTACCTTGTCTGAAATATAATTACTTCTGTGCTCATACGGTCCAACACTTTCCAAATTCGATCAGTATATCTAACCATTGTGATTTTCCATGAAGGAGCCAGAAATTGGATTAAAAAGTAAACTAATGAGCTAAAGACACTTTAGAGACATCTATCTGAACTGGGAGGACTCTTGGATTGTTTTAAAAATGTTCTCTTTTTTTTTTCAGGGGTCATATAAATGTTGTATCCGATTGTTCTATATCTGGTGGAGAGAGAAAATTTGCTACAACATCCTGGGATAAATCTATACAAATATGGGATATAGCTACTGGAATGTATAGGTTTGTATTATAGGAGATGATTTTTCTATTTTATTTTACCTTTCTTGATCTTTTCTTGTTCTTATCTCTGATTTATTGTGATTCACTGACTATTTTTTAAAAATAGATCTAAAAAAAACCAGCAAATTATTTCATAGTATGTAAGAGAGTTGTGTACAAAGTTGTGAATATGAATCACTTGCATAACACAGTTCATTTTTGTTATGCAGACTGAATAATCATTAATATTTATTTCAATATAGATCAAGAGGACCTGAATCTCTAAGAGGAGGACATGAAGGTTCTGTAAGCTGTTGTGATTTTACTCAAGATGGTACTTTTTTTTCAACTTCTAATTTTTAAAATATGTGTCCAAAAGTATAGCATTACGGACCTCTAAGTTACATGTGAAGTGTTATGAGATGTTCTAGAAAGATGTTTCCTTTATTATATGGCTATATAGTTTACTACAGTGATTCTATCAATTTTTGGTTGATAAACAAAAAACACTCTTTTGCCAGGTGATGTTGTCAGATAAAATATAATGACCATATTTAATATTAAAACGCACCAAGTGCAGTAGGCTACTGTTTATGAACTTGGTATTTTTCACCTACCGGTATTGTAGAAAATAAAAATCTTACTTAAGAGTAAAGACAAGCATCGTCATATTGGTGATTTATTAACTGTAACAAAATCTATTGTACCAGTAATTAGTTTTAATGTTGATAAATTTTGTTGTTGACAGGACTGACATTAGCTACTGGATCTTATGATAACAGTATTATTATATGGGATGCTGATAACTTTGTCCAAAAAATTAGGTTACAGGCTAGTATTCTTTTTTATTTTTAAGCTTATTATTGTAAAAATGTTCCCTTGCAACTATAGGTATAAAAAAGAATAAAGAAAACTGTTATTTGATTGCCCTATATATAAGCGCAGCTTTTAAAGAAAACCAAAACAACAGTGATTGTATTCCATATAAATGGTTATTGTGTTTTTATATATAATATTTTATGTATTTACAGGGACATACAGGTTGGGTGAATGATATTGTCATCAGTGAAGACCAAAAATGGCTTCTATCTTGTTCTAGTGTAAGATTTATTATCATTTAAACTTCCATAGATACAAAAGAAATATTTATATTTTATTTTAAATCATGATTAAATGTATTGATATTGTTTTATTTCAGTGGACAAAAACATTTTAATTATCAGAAATATATACATTAATGTATTTTCCGGAGAATGTCTTTACATGAACCTTTCCTTTAATTAAATGTTAACTAATCATTTTTAGTATGTACGGTACATTTTTAGTATGTACGGTACATTTTAGATATGAAAAGTGCAAATGATCATCAGCAACTTTAAATATCAAAATAAAACTGATTGCCATACTATACTCTTAGCTATTTGAGCCTGCCAGGAGAAAGTATTATATGTATATACTGATATATTTGAGTTTTTTATTCTATAACATTATTTGTAGGATAAAACAGTTCGGTTATGGAATATAGAAGATACAGATAAAATACCTGTTGTATTAGAGAACAGAAAGTCAATTGGATTAAAAGTTATAAAGGTATGTGATTTAAACTTGTGCTATTAAATATAAATCATAGATTTAATGTGTGAGTATCGAGGAAGGTTCTTTTTATAATCCAGCTTGAGTACATCGCCCGTGCACACATTGAAATGCACAGAAAAAAAAACCCTTTGACATTGGGAACATTAGGAATTTGAAGAAGAGTTGGTGAAACCGCCAGAGTCTGAGCAAAATTCACCTCCGTAGCATTGACTGTGGAAAATGACCAAAGTATTCTGTTGGTGAGATTTTTTTAAACGCCATTCCTTTTTTTATAAAGGAAAATAAGAATTTTAAATTTGATTTTCTTTTTTTCAGTGTTCTAAATGTGGTAAACCATTCTCTATGGCTCAACTAGATACGTTTGGTGATATTACTGTTTGTGTCTTTTGTCGTCTTGTCAATACAGCAGAAACATGGCTGCCGGTAGCTGAACCTGAGATATGATACTTTACACATTTTTGATCAATATTTCATGCATAATGTGATATTATATTTCTTAGTCATCGTTTTTATAATTTATTCTCCTTGATGACTTTGTGAAATCTTGTGATGTTTTTGTGTGGGGGGGAGGGGTGGGGGGAATAGACGTCACAGAAATTTTACATCAGCAATCCTACTTGACGTTTTAAGTTTGCCATTTATTTATAGAGAATGATTTATGTTCCCTTTTAACTGTGATATATTGTGTTGACCAACAAAGCATTCATTCCATCCATTTTAAAGCATTAAACAGTAATTTACATGTTTTTAGTTTTTTTAGTTTCTGTATGTTCAGAATGTAGACTTTAATTTTATGTAATCTATCTAATAAATCTGAAACGAAGAAATTATTTTTTTTTTTTATGAATTAAAATTATGCTGATATAAAGAAGATGGTTAAAATTATCATAGCCTTTAGCTTTATAGCTCTAGTTCATGTCAGATTGGGTTAATTAAATTTAAAATACAGATATGACGTCATCCTTTGATGTTGGAGTACCATTATTTCAAATAATCGTACGGGCAATGTGCCAAGCGTAACTTGGTAAAATATTGAACTCGAGTGACGTATTTCATTGCAGAGCACGTGCAAGTGTCTGTATTTTAAGTTGTTTAATGGTCTCGAGCTTAAGACATTGCGTAATATATTGTAAAAACATTCGGGCCTCACAGCCTTCATGTTGTTACAATAATATATTACTTAATGTCTCGCTCTCGACCATTAACCAATACATAGCTACCGGTACTAATTGAAATTTTGTTCACTTTTCTACATTTTATTGTGTACTGTTACCCCCCTCCCCCACCCGACCTGCAAGTAATTCACAACCATCAACCTGTGAAATTATCATATCGTCATATTATTATGCAGGATTCCGAACTTCGACTCACACCCAGCACACCCGACTCAGAAAGTCTATTATACCAGCCCATTCCACTCTCCAGTGGGCGTGGTGGCCCGTTAAAGCCACCGGCCACATAGAACATGATCATATCATCGCTCCAAGGCCGGTTTTTAGACGTATCGGACAAAATTATTTTTTTCATTTTTTGTCCGCCCCTGTACCTCACAAAATTATTTAATCTTCTTTATCCTAAATTGTTAAAATAATAATTAATTTACAATGTAAGCATTTGAAGAAAATTAAAATTTAATTAAGAATCATATTATAAGATATCAAATAGTTATTCCAATGTTTAATATGAGTAAAAGTAACCAAACGACAGGTTAATTTAATTAATGGATTGCTGGGGTTTCTCTCTGTCTGGATAATCATTCTATATTGTAATATAAGGGGAGAGAACTCTATTTACAACATGGCTGTTTTGTGATGTAAACAAAAGCACGTGGTAAATAAATCGTAAATATAATCAGTTTAAATCCATTACTTAATGAAATTTACGCGATATTAATTCAAAGAAATGTTCCCTTGACTGTGGTGAAAGTAAATATTGTGAATAAAACAATTGTCATTATTGACGAATTGATCTGTATCACTATACTAATATATTACTATCAGTATCAGTGAGTGAGTGAGTAGGCCTATATCATCAGATCAGATTGCCAGAATTCATCCGATGATCCATAATATATCATATTATTATTATACCCCCCCCCCCCGATAATTCAGAAGTTGAGTTAATTGATTAATGATATTCAAAAATTAAGCATTTGTAAATACCATAGACATAGTATAGTCATACGTAGCGGTCAATTGTCTTTCTTCTTCTCCTTCTTCTTCCGATAATGTGCCGGATTCTGAGTTGAATATATTCGCACATGGTTAAAAGATTAAAATCGTGTTGTGCCGAGTTCACATTTTCTTAAAAACAGGATAAAAACAGACATGGCTGCCTAGGGCTGGAACGTTCCGATCCTGCATGGACTTGAAGATATCCAGGGTATCGGCATCCACAATATGTCTTGGCAGTTTGTTCCACAGACTGATACTGGCAGGGAAGAAGGAGTCTTGGTAAGCCTTGAGACTGCATGATAGTTGGAGGTATCGGTTGGTGTGACCTCTCGTTAGCGAGCCAGAGAGACGTTGGTGGTATGTCTATCAGGTTATGAACTACCCGGTACATCATGGTAGCTCTAGCCTGGGCCCTTCTCATCTGGAGAGTCTCGAGCTCGAGCTCCTTGAGCATAGCTGTAACGCTGCTGGTCTGGCTGTAGTCTCCCATGATGAAACGGGCGGCTCTACGCTGTACTGCCTCCAGGGTGTTGATGTGGGTTTTGGTGGTGTTGTACCAATTCTTATTGAATTGATGAATAGTCCGACAAAAGGAAAGCAATAACTTCTGTTTAAGATTAGATTGATGAATTGTCCGACAAAGGATTAAGTTAGTCAATCAAGGCAGATTAAGTAGTTAAATCAAGGTAGGTTTATACTATAGACGGTATAACACGATAAATACGTTGATCACTTAATTACCTAATAAACCCAGCGTATTATCGACGATAATCGGGTTGAGTGGTAGTTATACACTCAGTAAACTTTATTAATTTCGGAATTTTGAATATTATTCACCATGTCTTGATGTCCGATTGGGCATATTCCCGGTCGGACAATTTTGGGCGTTTGGAAAAAAGATTCGGACAAGTCCGGAATATACGAGCAAAATCCCATCACTGTCCCACACTGTGGCAGCGTACTCCAACTGAATGACAAGGTGGGAGCACTGTTGCTCAGTAACTAAGGTACTAGCTCACAACTTAGGATTTCCAGGTGTTAGCCAGGAAATTTCCTTGGGATTTTCCAGGCTAGTTTCCTCTTGAAAGTTCTGAACCATATTTTTCTATGCATTACACAATTATATTACCACCTGAACATACCGTACATCGATAGCCAATACATGTTTTTTCAGGCCATAAAATAAATTTCAAATGAGATTATGTTTGATCATGATGGCTTTTCTATGGTTATGTACCGTGCCCATCTCTTCAATTTCAAAAAAAGGAATTATGTCAAGACAAGCTGTATTTATGCCTACATTTCTTCATTTGCATTTGTCTATAACAGATTGTACAGGTGTTAAGTGCTTTTGGCAAGTGGATTCAGGTTTAAAAAATCCTGAACTTCTGAAGTGTCTTCTTGGCACTTGAAGGATTTGAACTATAGGGAATTCAAGTGAAAAGACAGCTTGACTGTAGCGACCCTAACACACCACAAGCAAGATCCCTCTCACAAAAGTGCTCAGTAGCAATCCATTGGAAAATGGTATCAGATGGCAAAATTCTCTGGTAATAGTCATTTAAGCATAATATACACTGCCTTCGTACGACACTTACTAGAACTTGTAGCTACATGTAATACATGCCGACTGATTGTGATTAGTGACTAAAGAAACAAATGAAATACATCATCATACATACAGAATGTTTTTGTTTATTGTTTCCAGTGTATAGGCCTATCATAAAGCATTGCTGTATTTCTTAAGAGGACTGTTGGAGTATGGAGAATTTAGCCAAACTGTTGGGACAATTGCATTTAACACATAAATCATCAATATCTTTAGCTAAAACAGAACCGGAATACATATTAGCATTAGCAGCACAGAATCAAAGGTACTTTTTCTTTATATCTATAACTTAGGATAAAACATAGAATTACGTTTCTGTTAACAAAAAAATGTGGAAAATTACCCACGAATTCTCCTTGCAATTTAGGATTGGAGATAACTTTTCTGTATCAAGCCCTACATGTATGTCTATGTTGAACATAAGAAATATATTTCATTCAAGTATTAAAGGGAATGAAAACTTACCGACTGTATTACCTGAAGCTGACTTCGACTTCTGGTTAGCTAATTCTGGCTTCTATTAACCCCAATAAAAAATGTTGAGTGTCGACGGTCAAGCTTTTGAAACAGAAACCCTGGTATGTTTCAGACAAATAGTAGTATACAAAACATCAATAGTAATATTTTTATGTTAACAGTGAAGACAACAGCTCCTTAATAGCAGCTACAAGTAGTAATTACTGTATACGTCTATATAATAAGACAACATTAGCTGGTGCAAGACAAATACAAGGTAACTGATGAGATTAAATGAACCAAGAAAGTTTATGCTTTTGTTAAAACTTGTATTATCATGTAAAGCATTGGCTTTATCATTGAAGTGAAATTTTCAAGAAACACAGATTGTCATTCCAAGAAAAAAATCAACATGTAAGATATATCGTCAATATTTGACCCAAATCAAAGACATCTAGTGACTTTAAAATTTATGTATGTATAAAATGACACCTTTTAAAAATAGTACATGAATGTATAGAATTGTATCAAGTTTATTATGATATATCTATTTTAATTCTATATTATAGGTCATAATAATGTTATAACTGGTATATCATTTGGAAAAGAAGATCCTAATATATTATTGTCTTGTTCCAGAGATAAAACAGTGAAGTGAGATATATAACATTACTATGCAAGACAGTCTTGAGTGATAGATTTTTTTAGTTTTTACTGTATCTGGTGATATTCAAGGCTATTAATTGTCAGATATAGCCAGTTGTAACCATTCAGTATTTAAGATAATGAACCAGTCTCTGTGTTGATTATTATGTATTGATTAAGAAGTTAATGAACTCCATTGTCTACGATATCACCTTAGGTGGAAGTGGACGTAAAACTCCAGAAACGAACGAACGAATGAACTCTTCCAATAATCCTTAGCATTCATACCTTTAAAAGACTCAGTCATGTGGTAAATGCAGAATCATTTTTTTCCCCCCTGTTCACAATTGAAGTAATTAGCACCTCTACCGTAACCATAATATATACTTACTAATACATACTATTCTCTACATACTAAAATGTACTGTACTCCCCTGTTTTATCTATTCACAATAATTTTTGTCTATCACATTAAACATACATTATGCAAGAGCCAAAGCTGCCTATTGCAGGTCTTTCTTTAGGCCTGAAATGTTATCTAAATTATTAATTAGACATTAATAAACTTATCCAGACCATAATAAACTCTTGATGTCATCGCTAGCCTGTGATATTTACAGGATTAGGATCCGATTTGCTGCTCAACTTTCATTCATGATTAAATCATGAAATGGATAATCAAGACTATGTTTTTTTTTATCGTACCGACTTTAGTAATGATGATCGAGGCTAGGGCGAAAATTCAATTTGACTGAAATTTTTAGCAAATACCCTTTACATTATCTAGTTTTTAACAATTATAGTGAGAACTGCCAGCTCTTTATCTAATCTCCCATAATGTATCTTTAACTGCAGCAGTGCACATATAAGAAACTTCAACAGTTTTGTATAAATTTTATAATTCTGCATAAAACTTAATTATAGATGCTGGGATTTAAGGTGTAAACCAGAAAATGAAGTTCAACAATTCCAAGGTTTGTAAATATGATATGTAGAATTTTCTACGTAGATGACTTTCCCCTGCTTGGACCTCTATACATGTCAGTCAAAGGTGGATACTCAAATAATGAAAAGAGTTAGGGTGGGTGTAAACTGCAAAGTGGTGGTGTGATTGTGGTAACTTGACAAAAAGGTGGTAGTTTGATCTGATACAAACTTAACACATCCTCTCCTGATAACCTTATCTTCTACATCTTATATGTATAAGAGATCTACACAGTATCATTTTGTTTCTGTGAGTAGTATAAATAATGAGAATAGAAGCTGTGGGTACTGTTTGAATGTTTCATTGTACATAGAAAACCTTTTCATCCTCCTTTGATTTTGTCCCTAAATATTATTACGTTTAACCCATCACACTCTAATGACATAATTCTAATTATTTGTGCAAAAACAGTTACAGCGGGCTGAATTACAGGAGTGACCGTTTATTAAAGAGTTGAATCCAAAAAATTTCTACAGGGGGAATTTACTGTGATCAATTACAAGGAGATGTCACTGAAAAGGAATGGTTGCTCGTACAGATTCTGCTGTATCCATACTTTTAGATATTGAACGTAAAAGACATTAGAACACAAATAGATACAGTACTAAGATACATTACTGTAGATCATTTATATTTCTATAACTTTATATTTTATTTCTTTTCTAATGTGTCATTGTATGATGATAGACATTTTGAAAGAGATTTAAAGAATTGTGAAGGAGTACCTTGAATTATTTTTAAGATTATATATTCTAGGTAAAACTAATGTAGGTTTTGGCAGTGTTGATATAAGCTGTAATGATAGATTGATTTGTGCTGGTACTGATGTGGATTTTGACAAAGATGCATATTTAATATTCTGGTATGTACACATCATCATGTTAAAACAGTTTGCTTTCATCATACATTTAGTTGAATTATTGTTCCCCGACTTTCGAAGAAAGCAGGGGACTATTAAAATGGGTCTGTCCGTCAGTCTGTCTGTCTGTCTGTCTGTCACACTTTTTGGAACACAATAACTCTCCTTCTAATTGAGCTAGAATGTTCAAACTTAGTGTTGTTGTTTATTAGGTGACTGCCATGATGGAGTTCGAAGATGAGCATTTTCTGCTTAGGGTAACCAGAGATAAGCAATTTGGTTGGTTTGTGCTTTGGGACATAATAACTTTAGTTCTTATTAAGTGAGAGTGATGAAACCTGGTGTATAGTTTCATTACATCAATACCATGACTAAGTTCCAAAATGAGCATTTCCTGCTCAGGATAAGCAGAGGGTTAAGCAATTTGATTGGTCGAGTCTTTGGAACACAATAACGCTCCTAATTGAGGTAGAACGTTCAAACTTGGTGTACGCGTTCATTAGGCGAATGCCTTGATAGAGTTCGAAGATGAGCATTTTTTGCTTAGGGTAAGCAGAGATAAGAAATTTGATTGGTTGATGCTTTGGAACACGATAACTTTAGTTCTAATTAAACATACATTATGCAAGAGCTAAATCTGCCTATTGCAGGTCTTTCTTCAGTCCTGAAATGTTATATAAACTATTAATTAGACATTTATTAACATGAAAAGACCTTAATCAACTCTCGATGCCATCTTTTCTGTCAGATTTTCACTGGATTTGAATTCGATTTGCTGCTCAATGCTCATTGATGATTTAATTTAAAAATGGATAACAAGACTATGTTTTTTCATCCTACCGACTTTAGTAATGATGATCGAGGCTAGGCCTAAAATTCGAGCACTAATATCTTGGTTCAGAGTGGAACAATTTGACTGAAATTTTCAGCATATTCGCTTTACATTATCTAGTTTTTAACTGTTATAGTGAGAACTGCCAGCTCTTTATTGTCCCTTTAAGTGAGAGTGATGGAACTTGGTATATGGTTTCATTACCTTGACTAAGTTTGATAATGAGCATTTTCTGCTAAGGCTAAGTAGTGATAAGGAATTTGATTAGTCAAGACTTTGGAACATAACAACTCTGCTTTTAATTGAGGTAAATGAAATGAAATGAAATGGAGTTTAACGTCCTACTGTTTTAATTGAGGTAGAATGATTAAACTTGATGTAGATGTTCATTAGGTGAATGTCTTGTCTGAGTTCAATGATTAATATTTCCCACTAAAGCTAAGCAGAGCTAAGCAATTTCATTGGTCGATGCTTTGGGACAAGATAACTTTGATTCTAACTGATAGAGAGTGATGAAATTTAGTGTATAGTTTCACTACCAGGTACTTCAAAACCTTAAATGAGTTTGATCGTGGACATTTTAGTTATCATTTATTTATTGTGAAGACATCTAACAATTGATAAAATGTTTTGTTGGGTTTTTTCAGGGACAGACGAAAAGCAGCTTTTCTTGGTTCTTATAGCGAATCTTTTGACAATGAAATAGTACAGGTAAAAATGACAATGTTTCTTAAGATCTATCCATATCTAAGCCGATAGGATTATAGTAACATCTGTGAGGTTGAAATGTTCAAGTGATACTTAGTAGTTTAAGAAATAACAATCTTTGAGATGATTTGTAGATTATGTTTTCATCCTTTTACAACTGATCATGTACGAAAAGCTGATTTTATTTGTAGAGTGTGTTTTTATCCTTGTAAAACAGACCATGTATAAAAAGAAAAGTTGATGTTATTTCATCCTAATAAAATTGATCATGTATTATTTGTAGAGAGTGTTTTTATACTTGTAAAACTGATCATGTATAACAAACATTGATATTATTTGTAGGTGTGTTTTCATCCTAATAAAACAGATCATGTTGCTAGTGGAGCATCAGATGGTTTAGTTTGTATATTTAATCTAACAGAAACAGATGAAGATGATGCTTTAATAACAACATTAAATACTGAATCTTTTGTGGTAATAATTAGAATTCCCTTTCAATGTTCAGGGTTATTGTATGGAAGGTTATTTGGTGGGATGAGGTACAACTTGCCGCCTTCATTACATAATTGTAATTTCAAACAGGAATCCAGGAACTTTTAATTTTGATACCATATTTTAAATTCATAGGCAAAACTGAACCATTGTCATTAGGATTTTATGAAATATTTGTCTGAATTATCAATTAAAATTATTGAAAATAGTACCAGGGCCCCCTAATCCCTAATTATTGTTTTAAGATATGTTTTTTTTTTGCCTGAATAATCTCTGAACACATTGGTGGACCCCCATGACCACCTGCCAAATGCACCGATGTATAAATTTCACTTTGAAAAATATTGAAAATAATATTACAGTGTTAAAACTAAGTAGTATAAATCGTGCTAAGCTATCCACCAAATCTCAGACAGATTTCTGGTTATGATAATATAAAATATTTTATTAAACAGGCTAGAATAGGATGGTGTGGTGTGGATAATGAAAATATATACTGCATAACAGATGTGGATACTTATCATAGTTGGGATGCATTTGAGGTTTGTTCAACACTTTTCTGTTTAATCTAGGATTTCATACCTATGAAATATAGCTGAAGGGAGAACACAATGTTGATGACATTACATCATTTCTGATATGTTAAAAGTACAGTATTTGTTTCTGTGTTGTCTGACTTAATATCTTGATTAATGTCCACTAAAAAATAATCTTTTTCCGCAGTAGACATGCCAAAACAGTTGGAATGGTCAAACACTGCTGTGTTGACAATAAAACATCTACAATAAGTGAGTTTAATTAAAATAAAAATATACAATAATAGATCATGTTTTATCTGTCTCTATATATATCTATTTCCTATATTATAGGGTGATTTATTGAAAGAAGTTTTAGATATTAAAGATAAATTAAAGGTAAATTAGAAAATAATAGAGTGTGAGAATTCTGCCTTGAAGAAATACACTTTCAAAGGAGTATATGAATATAATAATGCCTTTGTCAACTATACAAAGTTTGTCTGAATAGTCCTTGAGTCAAAGTAGTTAATTGCTTAAGGTGACATATTTTGCTGTTGAAAAAGTAGGATCAATTCCTACTCTCAAAACATTTGCTGAGTGGACAAACACCTTTATGAATTAAAGTGACTCTCGGAGGCCGGTGAAAGACATTCAAATTGTATTGATTTCTTAGTTTGATTCCTGTAAATATGGGAAAAAATATTTAGGGAATATTAATAGATGTAATATTATTTAGGGAGAAGATGGTATAGATTATATTAATAGATGGTATATTATTTAGGGAGAAGATGGTATAGATTATATTAATAGATTTTATATTATTTAGGGAGAAGATAGTGTGGATTACCTAATAGATGTTATATTGACAGAAGATAATACACAACAGATTATTGCTGCTGGCAATAAAACGTAAGTTCAGAGCTATTCTCATGTAATTCTACAGCTTGGAAAACAAGCATTCTCCAATTCAGTGCCATACGTTTGGAATCAGCTTACCGCTAAGTAATGTAGTGTTGATCAACAATAACATGTATAATAGGTCTAAATAACTATTAACTATTTTATATACAAATTATTGGTATCAATATTTGTATTGGCCAATAGTTTTACTAAAAGTATTTGATTTGTCAATAACAACTCTAGCGGTTCATCTCTATTCTTATCACTAGATTATGAATTGTACTGAATATTGCTTCACGTCGGTATAGGAGGATGCTTTAGGTAAATAGTTTTTTATATGCATTTATAACAACATAATTGTAATGTTTGTCACATTTTATTAGTTAATTTTGAATAATGTATTTGTGCATTCTTTTTAATTTTAGTGGTACAATAAAGTTGTTAGATATTTCTAGTAAAAGTACAGAAGTTATTTCTACTCTATCAAAAGGTCATACAGAAATAGTCCGATGTATATATTATAATAATAAGGTTTGTTGCTATATGGATTAAGAACCCTGTAATCTACCTTCTTGAAATATTTTAAATTAAATTGAATTTTACATTCTTATCCACATGCCAACATAATTGAAGTAGGATATCTTACTAAATTAATAAAAAGAAATACTGAAATAGGGCTTGTGATGACATATCATTACAATTTTATGATGACATATCGTTACAAAATGTTCATTCATAATCTCAACAAATAAGTATGATTTTACTGTATGAACCAGGAGCCTTCCATGATGTCATTGCAGCCATCTTGGAATTGTGATGTCAAAAACCTGTCAATAAATGCGTAATTGTCCAAAGAACAAGTATGCCAGAGAAATTTTATGTTGATTGTACTAGAATTGGCGGAGCCTTAGGGTTTTTTTTTTAAGAGTGTCTCCCTAAGAAGGACAAGAACAACAATATTTCCAAGTGTATGGAACCAGTTGCTGATTGAAAAATCTGCGCATTGTCATTGTGTTGTAAAGATTACCTGTAGCAAATAACACTCAGTTCAGTTTTTGCATGTTCCTAGACGTGTGAATAGTGTTATGAAAACAAAATTTCAATAAAGTTGTAGTAAAATATTCAATTTATGTGTAGATAAGGATTATAGCTGCTTTTTAAAACAGTACCCTTAGCCTTATTACAATTAATTATATCTTGTATATTATAGAATGGTACATTAATTACTGGTGGAGAAGACTCTTTATTGTGTTTATGGTCATCCGATCCTGTTACTACTACTTCTAGCATAGAACGCAAGGTAAAGTATAAAGTATAGCACATCTGTACGTTTGTAATTTCACCAATATATATATATATATATATATATATCAACTGTCATAATTTGTCTGATTTTAAAATATAGAAAAACGTCAACATTCTCCTTTAGATAGAAACAGTTCAATTACTGGTACATCTCTTCTTGGGTTTTTTTTTTCCTACCGGTATTGACATGATTTATCTGTATATGTGTGTATGTAACGGATAGCCTTTTGACTGTCTATATTTTAATAACATAAGATAAATTATGACAGTTAATGGAATTAAATTAAATTATGGAATATTTTTAGGCACCATTGTTCAAATGGTATCCTTTATTAAAGAAAGTGTTCTGATGCAACTAGACTTTAAATCATGCGAGGAGGAACTTTATGGACATACAGTGTTCATGACCTTCTGTTCCAATCCAAAAGCATTGTTAATACAATAGAGGCTGCAGTTTTTAACAGATTTCTTTTGAAATTTGGTGTGAAACATTGGTGACTTTATTAATATTGAGTGTTCCACCCCCTTCTGTTTCAGAGTTAGCCACCTTTTTTTAAACAAAAACTGTTATTGCGATGGAGGCTACGGTTGTTTACAGATCTTTTGCAAATTTGGTTTGAGGTCATGAGAGGGCAAACTCGTTCCAGAGTTATCTCCCTTTTCCAAAAACGATACAATCAATTTATAATCTGTAAACCTTATTAAAATGATGGAGGCTACAGTTTATAACATATTTTTTTTCAATTTGGTGTGAAGTATTACCTTTCTTAAAACCTTGGTAACATGATAAAGTCTCCTGGTTTCAACAGAATTTTTGCAAATTTCCATGTTTTGAAACACAGTCGATCCCAACCAGTATTCACAATACAAAGGTCAATGGAGGAATCCAGTAAAAGACATAAATACATTTAATTCTTGATTTCAGGGAAAGTTAAAGATGAAACAAACACCATCAAGGAAATCTCAACCCTACTCAAGATGATCCTATAAAGTAACATTATTATCCTGTGCTGAACGAAGTTAATCTCTCTGAACATCATTTAAGAAACTGCAAGCTACAATATTATGAAAGTTTAATGTCAGTTGTGGTAGTTTATAATTCAACTGAAATAATAATCAGGTAGCAAACCTGGGATGCTTGATGCTATTAACTTTAGAACAAGTGCGCTACTACTAATGGCCCTGTTACACTATTACGTATGATACACACAAAATGACCTTGAAAATACAGAATTGTTTGTATACTTACCATATTGAATCTATGAGTAGCTTATGTATGTCACCGTATGCGACCATGCTTGAAACATACAACCTATGTCTAACATACCCCTAGCTTAGGACAGCGTATTGCAGTGTATGAATGATATTTTACAAATGCTGGCATACACTAGTACATTACGAATAGTGTGGCAGGGCCATAACACAGTGATTTCCAATCCCTGCTCTTCCAAACGACGTCCAGTGATTGTCAACCCCTGTACCTTCCAAAAGATTTCCGGTGATTGTGAATCCCTGTACTTGGGCACCTAATGTTGATGACCGAATCTTCTTGTTATAACCTGTTATTTTTTGTATTATTATATAAAGTGTATGTATAAATGTAGAAACTATTTGTTGTTATAAGTCCATAAGACCGAGAAGCTTATTGATAATTAATTGAAATTATTTCCATTGATTAATCTGAAATAGCTTGTGGGTACTCTAGTGTCTAAAATTGTCATTGACACTCATTAAGTGCATGTAGTTTTTCCAATGGGCCAAAAAACTGAGATCCTGTGTAAAATATGGCAATACGTGTAAAATTTCTGATAAGTTGGAATTTGTAAATGCAGCTGTCTAGGCATAATTCTTTACATTGCATACAATAAAAATGACCATGTTAGTCTCAAAATAAGCAAAGTATTAAACTTCATTTCATTTCCAAAGGAGTATGTTCTGTTCCTATTCCTAATAACACTTAGTACTATATCCCTCCTACGGCTCCTTGATGAGATTTATTTTCATGTTTTACATGTCAGCGAGATTTAAATGTTCACACATCTAATGCAAGCACTTCATTTAATTATCCACTCACAACACCTACCTGGGACTTTTTATGATTATTACTGATATAAAGGGGTCATCAACATGGTGATTGATAAATAACAACATTAAACATGGGTTATTTCAGTTTCAAGGTGACTGTGTATTGATTTTCAATGCAAATGATGTGTTTTTATGTCTTACATTAATATTGATTGTAACCTTACAAGTGATATGTCAACAACTGATCAGATTGTTTTAATCATTTCATTAGTTCACAAACCACTTTCATGTATAATAATAAGCATAGCAGACATTCAGTATGATATGACATCATTACAGATCCAGGTCTTACCAGTACTCCTTATTACTAAGAACACAAAGGTAACTCTTCCGTTGTTCTTTCGGTGTCATTATACTACCTGTAATATCGATCTAAAGTGCTTGGTATTCTTCAAGACAATAGATCAGATCTTTTGTCATACTTTGTTAAAGGGAAAAAAGACTTCACTCTAAAGGCTGAAAACAAGCTAAGCTTGTAATCTGATTATTGTTCTACATACTATGATTGGAAATGTTACTGAGGTGACAACCATAACAGTATATAGTTGGGAGATTTTGTATAAACAATCAGCGCAGTACTTTTAATTATAAATTAGTCTTCCCAGCATATAGATCAATCAATACAGCTTTATGTCACAATTGTTTTGCTATAGATCACACTAATACCAAATATTATAGATCATGTTAATAGTATTAAAATAACTGTCTTTTATTTTATCTATATATAAATACTATAAATCCGACTAGTTTTATACAGATAAATGAATTTTTATTAAACTTAACACATCTTACAAATTTGGACATAGCAAATATCAGATTTTGATTGCACTACATGAAATTAATTCTCCACAAATAAATTCACAATTAACAAATACATTAATCAATAAATTGCCACAATTGAAGACATTAATGGTTTTGTAAGCATAATACCTATAAAGTAATCTCAAGTAATGGTTTCTATTCTATCATTGTGGGCTATTGTTGCCCTAAATACACTGCAATGTGTGTAAATATATATATATATATAGAAATTCTGTTTCAGATCATAATCAATATTGTTTTTAGTTTAACATTAATGGATCTACTCAAATCATTAAAAATTTAAAAACCGATGTCCGGTTTGTTTCCTTAGAAAATACTTTTAACTATATTACTAATTATTTCAATTATAATTAATATTTTCGAGGAGTCATAAAGTTCTGATATATGGCCATAAACAAATTCTACTCAAATTTCAGTCACTTATTCATAATGCTCAAGATAAAATGTGCAATTCAATATACTTTTCACTTATATCAACAGGGTCCTAAAATTGTGCTGTAACTATTTTAGGAATAGGACAGATCATAAATTAAAGTAACCCTTAAGTTTAGGCCCTTTTAAGTGTGTCTCTGGATGACCACAGTGTATCCAGTGAGATGTTCATATAGTTTACCCTTTGAGATAATTAGATTTTGGGGATAACCTGTTGACAGTTATTGTTAGAACTCTACTTACCAATTTATTTCTGAATACAAAATATATAATGTATCCTCTTTTATTCAAACAAAAGTTACGGTTTAATTCCTCTTGAATACTAATTGCTATTGCATCATGAAATTAATGACAACAACTGTACTGCCAGAGGCAATGTTAACATAAACCGTGAACTATATTCTTATGCTCTGAATATTACTGTTATAGATTATTTCATAAGCTTCAAAGTTTCAGAGATCAATGTTCCATTACTAATAATTTTGTCAACTTATCAATATATAGACGTAAAAACTCATGTCTAGTGTACCAAATCTTAGACTATCCACTCAGAATTGAACAGATTAAATTGCCGGAAAGATTAAAATTGTGAAAACCCTTATGCAATGGCTGGATTTTACGATAATAAGTTGAACCATTAATCTAATTTTTAATTTTACAATAACAAACTGAACAAACTAATAATTTGATATACATTATACATCAAAGTAAACTAAAATTGATTTTTTGATGATTCACAAGAATTTAAAGTGCTTGAAATTAACAAATTAATTAAAACAGTTTCATGGAAATTCTCCTAGTTAATAACTTTTCATCGAATTTCTATGAAGAGCTGTTTTGATTTTTGTGAATTGCTATCTAGGCTATTTACTTCCAACTCAATTATTTTAATGGACGGAAAATGCATTGTGTAAAATTTCCAGAAAGACCTGAAAACTCTTAGGCACAGTGTAATAATATAACAATTGGCAAAAATAACAAAGTACCTAAGGACGGCTTCAACTTGATATTAACCTTGTAATACATGTCTAAATTCAATTAACATTTTCCAATGTGATTTAAAAAAAAAAATCTTATAATTGATATGACTAATGAATAATATTGTAAGCTATATCAACTTCACCCCCTTTGAGGTAGAATCTAGTATCTTTTTATCCAAACTGACAATAATTTTCTTCAATTTTGAACACTATTAGCTTTAGCTAACATATTCAATTGAATAAACTGCAAAACATATCAAGTCATAGTGAATCACTGTGCATACATAATAACATGCAGTTTAAACATATAGAAAAGATTTGTTTTGGATAAGAATCTTGTATAATTCAAGTAAAATAACACAATTTTAAAGTTCACTAGGTAATTTGTTTGTTAATCTTATCTGTATTTATCTGTTGGGGTCAGATGACTGTTTTATGTGCCTAAATAAAGTAGAAGGCTTGTATTCTATTCTAATTAAAGTGTGATTCATGTACATTAATAATTTACCTCACTAATCAATCAACTAATCAATGCCTTTACATGATTAAACATTGCAATGAGTCGATTTTAATCAGAGTAAACCCAGACGTTTATGATTCATCTCATGACGGCACAATGATTCATTATCACATTATAATAAAACATAACAAAACATTAATAACATTGGTATACCTAGTATCACCAAGAAATATATGTATCTAGAAAAAAAAAGAACATTATAATTGCTTGGCACTACAAGATAATTTGGTTGCACTAGAGCATTTATAGTTATTTACAAATTAAACAAGCAAATTAATGTATATTATAATAGACAATATAAAACTTCATTTACATATATATATATTTAGATATAATTATGGTATTTACAAATAAACATCATTTTACACATACATTATATATATACATGTATATATATATATATATATATATAAATATTATCAATTTGTTTTCTTGAGACAACCAAGATATATATTTTTATCATATTTACCATGTCTTGCAATAACTTAACCACACTTCATAAACACTTGCCATTTATAGGAAATGCACCAGGACAATAAACAATCTGAGATTCAATGTTTTTTTGCATGAACTTAGTAAATTTGAATGTTTAATAATTTATTCTAAATTTCAGAATACCAACTATCTATAATAATGCCAGCATCATTAGACCTGTTTTGGATAATACCATATATTTTCATTGCTCAAATGTTAATGTGGATTTAAATGTGTATAAAAATAAAGTGAATTCTGTACAAATAGCATACTTGGATCACATATAACTCATTCTAACACAGTACCTTACCCTTTCAGACACAAATCTGTAAGAATTACCACTGTACAAAGATCAATATGATAATCTAGTGCCATCCTTGATAATTGCATACTGTAAATTAAAGTTTATTGTTAATAAAGAAGTGTTGTAAGTAAAAGATACACCTGATTAACTACAGAATTCCATCCTAGTATTGATGTAAAGATGCTATATCAGCCAAAACTTCTGGATCTTTGTGAAGTTCATCGATTTCTTCCGGGAGAACTCTGTGAGGGTCAGAGCGCAGCGATCCCCTTGAACGATTACTCTTAACTGATTTACCCGACTTTGCACTTTTTGCACTGTTCCGGGTTGACTGCCGTTGGAGGAGATTTTGACTAATTGTTCGGTGAAGATTTTTATTGCTAGATCCAGATGCGTTTGTTAAAAGCCAAGGATGTTGTTGACACTGGATGGCCGTTATACGCATATGAGGTTCAAGCACTAATAATTTTCCAATAAAATCTTTAGCTGAATCGGACACATCCTTCCAATGCTGCAAATAAAAAAAAGATCATTTTCACAAATTATACATTATTTCTTCGACATTAAATATGACAGGTTGCCAGGCAAAGAATCATACACCAACACGTCAGCAGCAGTTGGAGCAGGACGGTTTATAACGGCTAATACTGTTATCAAAATTATATTGCTTGCTTTTCGTATACAGTTCAAAATATTGTGTCCAACCTATTTATAGGATTCTGAATGTCTGAATTACTTGTCCTATCTTATAATAGCAATGTCCACCCTATGCGATAAATGTCCACCCTTTCCATTGGTGACATCTTGGCAAATAACTTTTTAAGGACTAAAATATTGTAAATCTCTGAATTCTTGCAATCACACATACAGAACTGTACGAGGAATCCAATGACAAAAAGTCAGCGATGCAAGATTTAGTTAAAAATATGGGCTTTACTATATACCGGAAAACTACTGGAAAACACCATGTTATACTGAATACCAGAAAACACTGGAAAAACACTAAATACCGGAAAATACACTAAATACCGGAAAACACACTAAATAGGTAACTCGGAGCCTGGTCCTCTGGAAAACACCGGAAAAACCTAACCCTAACCCACCGCTGGTCCTCTGGAAAACACCGGAAAAACCTAAACCTAACCCTAACTCCCCGCAAACAGATGACCAGGTTCTGGGTTACCTATTTAGGGTGTTTTCCAGTATTTAGTGTGTTTTCCGGTATTTAGTGTTTTCCGGTATTCAGTATAATATGGTGTTTTCTGGTTGTTTTCCGGTATATACTGTAGTATTGCCAAAAAATATTGTTTACTGTTTTAATTTCATACACATGTTGACAAAGGCTAAATTCTAAATAAAGGGACCTGAAAGTGAAAACTTTGAATTCTTTTCGTGAATTTTGGGACAGTCTTGAGGGAATACTCTTGAGTACTAAATAAGTACATTTAATCATTTATTTTGTATCTAATAAATATAACAAATGAATAAATATAAGTTTCTGATTTGGTTAAACATGCATTATGCAAGAGCTAAATCTGCCTATTGCAGGTCTTTCTTTAGGCCTGAAATGTTTTCTAAAGTATTAATTAGACATTAATTAACTGATCCAGGCCTTAATCAACTCTCGATAGCATCAGATTTCTCCAATATGAAATAAATTAGAATGGTCCAGAGATACTTTGATTTAATCAAATATGGAGGACCGAGACTTAGCTTCAATCAACCAGTACGGTGGTTGAAATTATTGCACACGTCTGTCAAACCTTCAAAGGCTAATATCTTCGCTTGCAATAGAGTAATTTGAATGAAATTTTCAAATTATTTATTTTACATCATCTACTTTCGAACTCTTACAGCAAGAATAAAGGCTGTTCACATCTAAAGCACCATTTTTATGGAACAGCATAAACTTTCCTATGGCTCTTAATTGGGTCCTATACAATGTACCTGCCACTAATATACATTTGCACATAGTGCTTACACTCATGCCCTTGGCACAAACAAGCCATAGGATCAGGGGAGCTTCAGACCTGGCATAGGATCAGGGAGCTTCAAACCCATTATGTCATCAAAGATATCAAAGAAGTTCAAAGATATGGTTTTTCATCTACTAAACTATAAATTAATAAGTCCATTTTAGCACAACCTACAATGGCATCAAATATTGACTGCTTAGCCGAAGCTCAAATATTCCTGCTACAAGTTGATTTATCGTAGAATGCTATTATATTTTAAGCGTCTATCCTACCCACAACTCAGTAAAAATAACCCAATTCTTTTTGCTTCCTTTAAAGAGGATAGCACTTTAGCAACCATTAACCCTAAACTATCTTGGACAGTAACCACTGCTGAATTGTTAAATACTTTTAATATATCATCGTTCATTCCATCATCAAATCAAAATACTAAATGCCTTGAAGAAAAATTCAATGAAGTTTATGCCAATCTATGCTCTTCAGACAACAAGAAACTAAGAACATTTTATAGGTTTAAAAAGAATATCAACGCTACGGTGCCATACCTTCTAGAGAGAGGGCGATAAAGAATATACCTGCAAATCTGCGGTTTTGCACAAACTGCCCTCAACAGCAATCACTGTTAGGAACTCTGCAAGACAATTGTTTATGGGGCATTTGAGATCCAAAAGTATCCATTTTCTTTCAAAAACATGTTTAACCCGCCGTTTGCTCTAGGAAAAAATGTGTGCAGCTTTGTGCAACATGCTTTCCAAATAAGGGATGTGGCACCCACCTCTATATAAACCAAAATATTATAACCAACAATTCAAAGACCTCTTCTTCATGCTTAGTTGAAGCGACTATGACATATATTCAAAACTTTGGCTTATATATTGTACATAAATGTACATTTCATCCACTTTTTATGTAATTTTCATCCAGTTTTTATATATTTTCCATCCAGTTTTTTTTTTATGTATTTTTCATCCAGTTTTCTTAATGTATTATCATGCATACCGTAATGTATTATCATGCATACCGTAATGTATAATTTACATGCTGCCCGAAAAGGGTGCTCTATGTTATAAAAAATATCTAATCTAATATAATCTAATCTACTATAAGCTGTAAGTCAAAAATGATTAGTATCAATGATGTATTATTAATTTCATCACCCAATAACACATTCTACAGTAGATATCCCTTGTGTGATAAATTTCATAATCTACTGCGACATCTCCTTGTATCGCTTTACATGAATTTGATAGGTCAATTAAAAAGGTACTACTTTTTTTATTTTCAAAGAACAATTCATTCTGTATTAAAAGTAACTTCTTTTTTATTAGAAAGGAACTATTTTTGTTAAATTGACCTTGATGGAATCACTGGGTCAATATAAAGGACTTTGCAATGGTTAAATTGCTGTCAAAAAATAGTGCACCTTCAGTAAAAGTGAAATCTATAGCCAAGAATTATATTTATTTATTTGTGCATGTAAATCTCCTACTCGTCTTTTTTGATATAAAAAAAAATATCAACACTCCTCATCGATGATATTTTTTTTTATATGAAAAAAGACGAGTAGGAGATTCTCAATATTGTTTGTGCTATATATGTTATTTGTGTTGATATTTTTTTTATACCAAAAAACACACTAGGAGTTTCTCTATATATTGTTTTGTGATATATATGTTATTTGTATATGATTGTATACTGTCCTTTGTGATGGATGTAACTAGCAAATAAAAATTTTGAAGGATGAATGTTGTAGGATCACATACACTATCCTTAATACCAACAAATGGGTGTGGCGATGTTACATGCCATTGAGATATTTTTTATTCTAGATATCAAGATTTACATCAGTTTGTAGTAACGGACTGTATGAATACATGTATGTATTATGTACTCATATACATGTACAAGATAAACCATTAATTGATAATGTTTTCTGAACAAAGATTTATTACATCAGGAGTTACTTTTTAAATCTTTTAATTTCGAAAAATCACTAAAGTCAAAACAAGTTTGTATAAAAAGCCTGTGGCTTAGCACAAAATGGTCTATATTTCTTTATGTGTCAGTTTATTTATAGCACAAAGTTTCCTAGTGCTTGAAAGCCCTCCCAGTCTAACAACCTAAACTGAACTTCTTCCTATCTTCATGCACACAACAGAAGATATACTATTTCAACATGGCTGCTCAACAGGTCAAAGTCTATTCTAGGCTACAATGCATAGAGATATAGTTTCAACAGTTTCTCCTGCTGCAAATTATATGTACACCTCATGTACAAAATTTGTCTTCAAGAGATCAGGGCTTTACAGATTCATTCCTTTCTTAGTAAAACAAGAACTAAACAAACAACTCAATCCACTACGAAACGATCACACATACTCAACTGCAATATGCCTATATCAGACGTCAAATGACTTCAGAAAATATAAAGACTACACATGGAAACAACTAAGAAAAAGATTTTATCTTTATTTACTTCCATAACAGTGTATAAATCTTGAGTAAATCTAATTCTAGGGTAGCAACTCCAATAATGCCTCAATGGTCTACCATGGATATGGTTTTCATTTTGTCAATTAAGTGTGCCAACTGTACTGGTAGTCATGTATGTTAGGTATTTTATTTTTATAACATTATGTAGTTACTCGATTAAATGTTCCAAGATTGAATTCTCTCAATTCTTTGCAAAGTGTCAGTCGAGTAAAGACAAGAATGTCAACCAATCATCACAGGTGACATAATTACATCATGATTCTGCTCACATAACATCATTTATCAAGACTGGCAAAACTGTACGTCTGCATCAATTTGGGATTGTCTGCACCAAAAATCAAGCTTCTCCAATGACATGATTGGAGATGTTGGCACATCTGTACTGGATGAGCATTGGTATACAAATGAAATGAAATGAAATGGGGTTTAACGTCCTACTGGTCTACTCCTATGCTGGGCTAATGAAGACGGGCATACGCCATACAGTGTGCTATGAGGGAAATTTTGCTCAGGCAGCAGCACTATCGTCTACTCTTATATTGAATTCCAACTGCCAAGGGACCTTTTACGTGAATTCCAATGTATACATGTCCTTGTCAGGCCCTCTGTCCTGCATCACTGACAAGGGGGAACCACGCCGGAAAATCTGGATGAACTTTCTCGGCCAATGCAGGGATCGAACACCCGACCGCCAGGCTAGCGAGCCAGCGTTTTACCCACTTAGCCACGTGATCCCCCACATTGGCATACTGGAAGATGTGCCATGACAAGTTTTTTGCATTTGTATGTTTACAGCCTGAACCGAGGCAAATTAGACATTGGGATGGCACGACGAAACATATGCCCACACCACCTAATTAGGCTAATAAGATCAGCAACCCATGAAGATTGCTTTACTCTTTAGAGCGCCCACAATTTACTACAAAAGGATCTGGAAGAGTTGTTATATTACCGTCCTTTTGGTTGAAGTGAGGGATAAGCCAATTGAACAGTCTGTCACTGCGACTTCTTAGCGTGCCATGCACAGAACTGTGGGTAAACC